AGAGCTATGTGTGATGTGGTGGCTTTCTTTTTCCGAATGCTTGACTGATTCAAGATTAAATCCTTATATTTAAATGTTTCATTTATTGAGTTTAAGTACCAAAAGATTCAAGTAACATTCACTTTACTTTCTAAAACTTGCAAACCGTAGTTTGTTTAAATGTACACTGTCAGTCAGTAGATTAAATAGATACATTTTTACAAAAAAGGTGCATGAAATATTAAGGCACTGACTATATACCACAAGCTTGGCACACCTGTCTTTGGGAATTTTTGCCCATTCCTCTTTGCAGTACCTCTTAAGTTCTATCAGGTTGGATGGTAAGCAACATTGTACAGCCATTTTCAGATCTCTCCAAAGATGTTCAATAGGATTTAGATCTGGGCTCTGTCTGGGCCATTCAAGGACATTCACAGAGTTCTTGTGAAGCCACTCCATTGATAATTTGGCAGTGTGCTTTGGGTCATTGTCCTGCCGGAAGATGAACCGTCGCCCCAGTCTGAAGTCAAGAGCACTCTGAAGCAGGTTTTCATTCAGAATGTCTCTGCCCCCCCCCACCCCCCATCATGACTCGTCTTCCAGTTCCTGCAGCTAAAAAACATCCCCACAGCATGATGCTGTCACCACCGTGCTTTACTGTTGGGATGGTATTAGCCTGGTGATGAGCAGTGCCTGGTTTCCTCCAAATGTAACACCTGGCATTCCCTCTAAAGAGTTAAATTTTAGTCTCCTCAGACCAGGTGGGGAGTCTTTCGTCTGGCCACTCTATCATACAGAACTGATTGGTGGATTGCTGCACAGATGGTTGTCCTTTTGTAAGCTTCTCTTCTCTCCACAGAAGAATGCTGGAGCTCAGACAGAGTGACCATCGGGTTATTGATGACCTCCTTGACTAAGGCCCTTCTCCCCTGATCACTCAGCTTAGATGTGTAGCCAGCTCTAGGAAGAGTCCTGGTGGTTCCAAACATCTTTCACTTATGGATGGAGGCCGCATTCCTGTCTCGGAGGTCTACATACAATTCATTTCATATCAGGACATAAACATAAAAATTTGGGAAATTAACAAAAAGTAACAGCAACATTCAGCATTAGCAAATTAGGTTTAGGTCACGAGTCAAACATTGCTAATTTCAATAGTTTTAGCAGTATGTTGGTCTGGAGGTGTATGTTAACACAATGTCCGTCCAACAGCTAAAGCAAAATTGCTTCATGCAACAAGACAATGATCACAAACAGCTAAAAATAAATCAAGGTGGAATACTCCTGGGTCATCTTGGCTGAAATGCTGAGCTAAGAGCTGTGCAAAAAACTCCTCCAGAATAATCTGAGAGGCTGAGAAAGTCACACAGAAAACGATTACTTTAAGTAAATACTGCTAAAAGTGGATCATCTGAATCATAGGGTGTCCTATGTGGCTTTTCTCTTTGGCTTTTTTGTTGCTGTAAATAAATAATGACATGGTGTGAGTTGTCATGTGATGTTGTTCATCTGGGTTGTTTTATCTTCCAATTTTGAAGACCTGCCAGGGACTATATAGTTTTTTGCTATGTTCTTATACTGAGAAGCATGAAATTCAATGGGGTTTGCAAGCTTTTCCACATGGCTATATACAAACGTGTGGTTGATGGGTGTGAGGGTTGTTTGTTTTGCATCATTTCGCACATCATTAAAAAAGGTTCAACCCACGCCTCATAACCTTGAGCTTTTTCCATTCAATTACATGGTTTTTCAGTGGGAAAACACTTTCTGTTTGAATTAGTCCTTTAGGAATAGTGATATGTTCTGTGTTACGGTGGTCAGCTCAGTTGTTTTTGTTATCATTGTCACTATTGCCTTGTTGTGAGCTTAATTATGCCATTTGCTAATATTTAAACTCAAAATCACCACCTCTACATTAAATAGAATTGTATTATAAGATGCATTAGCCTTTGTTACCATGTGTATTCTACTGTATACGTTTAGAATATCTGTAATACAAAGAATGTCCTAATTTGAGATGATTTTGGTGTAACTTGTTAGATTTTGGAACTTCTTTGTCATTAGTTGTTTACAACAGCAGCAACAACAATGTGATAAATAGTTTATCTAAAGCCATTGGGAGGGGTTTTTCACTGAGACCTGAGGTCCATTTAAAATCACATTTAGACATCACATCACATCCTGCTGTGTTTGATTTGAAGTGACTCCTTTTTTCTTTGGTTCTAGTTACCCACAGAACTCGTCTGCATGTCTTTTGGAATTTGAATGATGTCTGCCGATGTGTGTATACTGCATGTGGGTGGGTTTTGAGATGCAGGTAAAAGATGCAGAGTTTTTTTCTGTGACTTTTTCATTCTAGTCGAGTGAGTTTTGTGTGGGAAGGAACCAGTTGACAGATGGTCTGGAGCGTTGCCATAGTAACCTCATGTATGACATCATCTGACCTCAGGCTTCAGCAATTACGCTCCTTTGCCCTTTGAATGTATTTTATGTTTATGCAGATTTATGCCGGTATGCATTCTGTCTTCTTTCCTAAAATCTTTCAATAAAGTCTTCAAAGCTTTGAACCAATGTAATGTGTAATGTTGATCCAAATCAACTAGCTCTGAAATGTTTAATTTAAAAATCATTTAAAAAGGCAGAAACACTAGTGTACTCTCATGAAACATGATTGATCATATCCAATTTGAAACAACAGCACCATATAAACATTAGCTTTTAGATATTGAAATTAAGCATACAATATTAATGTTTAAAGTATGTTTTACTATAATCAAACATACACTACCAGGTTTTTAACAAAGGTGTTGTGCTTTCCCAATGTATTTGATTAGAGGTACAATAATAACTGTAATAATGTGATATTATCATGATATAAAATAAGTTTTCCTTATGCATTTTAGTGTCATATTATCCTTTAAAAATCATATTAATATGCTGATTTGGTGCAAGAAACATTTGTTTTTATTTCTATTATTCGCCTCCAGTTATAGCTGTAAAAAAAAGCTTATAATGTTGCTTAATATTGAAAACTATTGAATTTTTAATGAGTATAAATACACTGTTTTGTAAGGCAAACAATTATATTGTTTACTGCACTTTGATATTCAGGTTATCTCTCTGTAAAGACCAGTGAATCAGAAGTCTGCACATTCACACAAAGACATAAAAAATCTATATAATACTCTGCATTGATACAGTAAGTACTTGTCAGGTATTTATTATCATTTACAGTAATTAGTATTAAATAAAGATCAGTCATATTTCTGTGTGTTTTGGCAAAAATGTGAAAATAACTGCTGGTGTTGGGCTGGGGTAGGCTTTGGGAGATCTGTTATGGCTGACCTGATTTGGCAGAATGAAGAGGATTATAAAGCCTGTCAGTCTCTCTCTCTCTCTCTCTCTCTCTTTCTCTCTGTCTCGTGTGACTACTAGTATAATCTCTCATCACAGAATGTGGGTCAGTGTGTGAATAAAGATCACTGCATGCACCCTTGTATTCCTCCATTGCTTTTTTTTTTTTTTTTTTACGCACGCTTCACATTTGTGTCATAAACAACAGTCCAGCCCTTCATTCAAATCTTGATGCTCTGATGAATTAATATATGATGTTGTATTTAGTTTTCTTTTAGTACCTAATGAATATTTCCTTTAAACCAAGGCTTGTGTAAAAGAATGAACGAAATAAATTTCTGAGAATAAAACCAGATTAGGACAGAATGAAGTGGAACGTCATAGAGGCACCATTCAGCTGAACAGGATTTGGCTTCTAGCCCAGAACTCCCCTCCCCTTTCTCAAATTTACTTGTTTTGGTTTCCTTTGAGCCTTGGACGTAATTCACAGAAAAAAATCAATACGGAAAAGAGTGAAGTGAAAACTTTCCCCTTTTTCTTCCTGATACTCTCTACCCTAACGTTACCTCTCCTTGTTTTGCAACCTACACTACGTGAACATTGTGTGTGTGTGTGTGTGTGTGTGTGTGTGTGTGTGCATATACATTTAATTTACAGCATGAATACTTCAGAACTATTTATTTAACTTTAATTGATTTCTTACCAGTCATTAAATCAAACTTGTAGTTATTAAAAAATATTATATGATGCAAGAGTAAGAAATTTAACTCAAACCAGTGCATTGTTGTAGTTCTTACAGTCAACAGCCAGATTTCATTAATAAAAAGTTGGTCAATTTTTAATTGTGGCCCCAGTCTGTATTTCTGCAGAACATGTTTTAAAACATGTTATAATGTTTTATTTTGTGCAGTGACATCAATGCCACCAACACATGATCAAGCACGAGGAGGACAGTAAACTTTAAGACACATGCGCTTCAATCCTTAGCCGTTTAAACACATCCTCTATCCTGATCCAAATTAGCTGTTATGTCATATGCTGTGAAACTTTCCAGTCAGATCATCAAAGGACTGTAGAAGGGTTATTCCATTCAGAAGTTAATATTCATTCATTTTCTTGACAGCTTAGTCCCTTTATTAATCTGGGGTTGAAAAGCAGAATGAACTGCCAACTTCTCCAGCACGTTTTTACGCAGCTGTTGCCCTTCCAGCCGCAACGCATCTCTGGGAAACCAAAAGTTAATAGATAAATAAATGAATAGATAAATAGAGAAAAAACTCAGCCACCTCTTTTCTTGCTTTTGTTAGTTACATCAGTGGTCTGTTATTAGGCCATTTTTTTAAATAAAAGGTTGAGAGGATGTACTACGGGAAATACAGTGGAAGGAACACTGTGAGACCTTTTTTTGTGGCAATTTTCTGTTGCTTCCTTTAACCCTAAAAGAGAACACAATGCAATGCATGTATCAAAATACAAATATAACACCTTGTAAATCAGCTTTCCATCTCATATGTTTTTGTTTACTTTTCATGCTCTTGAGCTGATTTTTCATAGCATGTAGTATCTCATTAATACATCAACACACACTACTTTAGTTTCATCACATTGCAGGATGATTTCATGTAAATGACCAGTAAATGTAAAAAGTCTTTCTCTTTTCTTTTTAGGTGTCTCTTTAGTGTTCATCCATGACTCTGCCATATGCTGATGGAACAGAAGGTCCTCAATAAGTCCCCCATGGTGTCCAGACTGCCAAAATTTGGTGCCCGTCCTGTCAGTGGTACCCCTTCATCCCTTCCCAATGGCACAGCCCAGATTGTGGTCACACAAGAGGGTAAGAATCCCCCTGTCAGGCCAAATGGAGTAGTCAGAGCCTCCTCCTTTTCCATGAAATGGAGAAAGGAAAATGGTGGGTCATTGGACCCTTTAAATCCAGTAGAAGGCACAATACCAGAAGAGAAAAAAGAAGCTCGATCTCAACAGTCTCCAGGAAGTAAGGAGTTAAAAAGCCCTTCTACTCCTGCATCTAAAGTGCGCAGGTCGGCCTCGTCATTATCCAGTGGAAGCCCCAAACCTGTACCCAAATCCTCTAAATCCATCCAAAGTCCTAAACCAAAGCCCAAACACTCTCAGATCTTGACAACCTCTAAAAGTCAGGACATATCCCAACAAAGGCCAACTCAAAATGGAACTGCATTTCTGGGGTCTTCACCAGGCCAAGCCATCTCTTCAGGGCTTCAGCGACCGAGGACAAATTCTAGCTCTACGCGAAGCACCTCTAGCTTATCTCAATCCAACGACAGCCTCTCAAAACATTCGGTCGTGCCTGACCACATGGTGCGCTCTCAGAGCTTCACCCACTTTAAACAATTACCATCGCCAACATCCGCTCCCATGACACGCTCCTTCTCCTTCAACAAGGCTGTGGAGCTAGCCAAGCCACTAGCTAATACCCAGCTGCGTCCTCCACGAACACTTGGACTCAAATCTCCACTGATCCTCAGCAAAGGTCGACCAATGCTTGGTTTTGGGGGCCTGGGATTTGGAAAGGGCTTAACAGATAGACTACCTGCTGGGACTCCCTCTTCAGACTGCTTAACGCCGCCTAATTCCACAAAAAGGCAGCTTTTACCTAACTCTATGCTGACAAAACCCTCGTTACAAGCCTACAGGCTAAGTCGACCAATTGCTGCCAAACCGCAGTGCCCTCCAGTGGTTAGGAGAAGCCCTGTGGAAAGTGACATTATAACTCCTCCTCTCACTCCAGAGCAGCTCCACTGTGCCACAGAAAACGTAAGTGTCCGACTCTGGGTATTTAATGACAACTAAATGTGCTGGTTAATCTGCATCTGAGACTCTCTCTCTCTCTGTAATGTTTATATTGACACCAAACTTTATGTTCCTATTGTCACCTAACACTGACCACAAAACAATAAATTCATGACTCTGCCACCTATTGGTCAAAAGTTATAAATCAATAAATCCTTCAAATGTTAATTGTTTTCATGATTTTCTAATATTTTAAGTGAAACATTTCTAAAATGTATTAAAAACTCACTTAGTCTGAAGTTTCTTACTAAACTTGTTGCTTTTTAGACCCTGGGGCTTATTCTGCCTCTGGATGCTTTGCTCATTCTGTCTCTGACTTTTTGGCTTCTTAATTGCTGTTTGCAGCTGTATTAATAATTAGGGTTGTCAAAAATAATATAAGTTGGTACAAATCGATACTGACATTTCCTGCTAACAATTGAGCACAGGCATTCTCATCCAAGATTTTTAAGTTTGTGCTTGATGAACAGTGGTAAAGCGATGACCTACAAGTCAATCAGCCTATCTGTTAATCTGTTGAGCTTGTGAACACGATTGCCAATCAGCAGTATTTAAGAACATGCTCAACAGTGCTAAAATATTAGCAGGAAATGGATTTTTAAAATTTCAGTATCGATTGGTACCAAGGTTGATACTTTTTACAACAATACTATTACTAATACTACTACTACTACTACTAGGTACAAGCTTACTACTACTACTACCACCAATAATAATAATAATAATAAAATAATACTAGTTACAACCGTATTACTATTGCTACTATTACTACTACTACTACTACTACTACTACTAGTTACAATCATCATACTACTACGACTACTACTACTACCACTACTATACTACTACTACTAATAATACTAGTTACAAACCTGCTACTACTGCTAGTTACAACCCTACTACTACTACTACTACTACTAATAATAATAATACCACTACTACTAGTTATAACCCTACTAATACTACTTCTACTACTACTAGTTACAACGCTACTACTATTACCACTACCACTTCTACTATTACTAGTTACAACCCTACTACTACTACTACTACTACTACTACTACTACTACTAATAATAATAATAATAATACTCCTCCTACTATTAGCTACAACCCTTTTACTACTACTACTGTTACTACTACTACTACTACTACTACTACAACAACTACTATATTACTAACTACTACTACTACTAGTACTATTACTACTACTGATAATAATAATACTAGTTACAACCCTACTACTACTACTACTACTACTACTACTACTACTACAACTATTAGTTACAACCCTACTACTACTAGTTACAACCCTATTACTACTACTACTAATCATACTACTACTACTACTACTAATAGTAATAATACTAAAAATAACAATAATATAATAAAATGTATGTATTATACAAGTATTATTGTTTTCATAAAGTCCAATTTGTTATTGTTGTCAAATTTTTAAATTATTTTGTAGATAATTATATAAAAATACTATTCTGTGTTGTGAGTCCTTGTTCTAATCAATAATAATATTTGCATAGCTGTTAATAACAATGCTGAATTTTAAACATGACTAAACTGAAGTTAAATTAATAAAGACATAATCTTTTCCTTCATTCTGTGTTTGTGACAAGGTTTCAGCTTTCACTGATTCCCCAGAGGAGGTTGTGACAGAGCCGAGTCTGAATGGGACCCTTCACTACACTGGGGAGGGTGCGGAGGATATGTCTCTCTCCTCTGCATCTTCTCTGGAGAGGAATGACACCAGTGAGGAGTTCCTAGATGACTTTGAAAACCTAGGGGACCAGTCCCAGAATGGCATCCAGCAGAACAAAAATCCTGTTGCCACAGCCACCCGGATACGCATGCAGAGCTTTTTGAATGAGACCATGGACTGGGCTGGGATTGGGCTGGCAGGTATTGCTAAACATAACTTTCATTTCTGCCATTTATCAGGGTCAACCAGTTCAATGTCATGTAAACATTTAAATCTTAAGTGAAGCATGGCAGAAAAGGGTGTTCTGATTCTTTATTATTGGAATTCATGCTTTCAGTGGTCCATTTGAGATATAGTGGCTGATAACCCTTGTGGTAAGCATGTAGATCCTGATGTGTGTTTAATTTTTAGGTGGTAAGGCAGATTTACAGAGTGCTCCACTACGTGGTCCACCGCTCATGTCTCCTGAAGTGGACCGTCATGCAGTCTCTTCTTTGGAGCTCTCACCCTCTAATAGCTCTGGAGGGACATACATGTGGGATGAGGAGGGCATGGAGCCACTGGGACACAACACACACATGCACCACTGCAGCAGTTTTGAGTCAGACCTCAACAGCGTCGTGAGTACACACATACATCCAAAATAAGATTGCAGAGTGTTGAGGTTATGTACAACAAAATAAAAAGCAGTACTTATTGACATGAGATGCATTGATCTGAAAGCTTCAAAGTACAGTGAACATATTAAATAAAAAAAAGAAATGATATAGTGAATCTGGAAAGACAGGTTATAACAGTTGAAATTATAAATGATACTAATGAATAACAATAATAATTGTTATGATAATGTTAATGTACATACTCGTATAATAGTAACATTTTGAGTAATAGCAACAATATTGTTAGCAAGAAAAAAACCCCCCCATAAATTTTAATAAAATTGTTTTCAACTTACTGCTGCTACTTCTACTACTATTACTAACTATAATTAGAAGTAACTTAAAGGTGCAGTTTGTAAGTTTGACACTCTGTGGTTGAACTTGGTATTGCGTTCCTGGATCAAAACAACGCAAGCACAGGTTGCCAGATTGAGGACCAAATGGAGCAGGTCGATTTTTAAATTGAGGCTGATTTAAATGGTGTTCTATATAAAAGCAAGGCCACGGTATGGAAGGATTTTTTTCCATATTAAATGGAGCATTCTTTGAGAGCCTTTCTGAATGAATGAATAAATGAAATATGGCGTTTTCCAACAAGGCAACCTGGGGTGCTGAAATATAATTGGCTAAACTGGCATTGGGGGTGGTAAAAGAACCAAAACAAAGATAGATGGTCCATGTAACAGACATTCTCAAAGCAGAATATCTGACTTCAGCATTGTTTTCCAAATAAACAAGTATATTCACTTAGCATGTTTTTTTAAATATCTGCAAACATGATATTACATTTTTATAATTTAGAGATGATTATGATTTAGAGTCAAAAACTTACACACAGCACCTTTAAATTGATTTAAAATAAATCAGGACTTCAGATCTCTAACCACACCAAAACTATTTCTACTTTATACATGCAGCTGTATTATAGATTTGCTAAGATTATAGTTTGTATAAGTCCCAGAAAATTCAGTTTGCCGGTTTCTTTGTGTGCCTGTGTGTGTCAGGATCTCTCTGTCCTTATCCTGCTAATTATCTCCTTGCTAATTAAGGATTAGCCTCTGTTGCTGTTACTCGTGACTCTGCAGGAGTCTTGTTTCTAGGTCTTGGCGCTCTGAGAACAGCTCCTCTTCTGTCTCAGCTGTTTCCAAAGTTTCTGATCGACTAACAACCCTACTTAACATTCCAGCGTTTGATCCAGGCTGTGATGTTTTTGCGCAGTGATTCATGATGTCCAGTCACCAAGAGGATTTTAAACAGTAATAATCAGATTTGAAATACCAGTGTTCCCCTGTAGCAGACACACAAATGTACCCATTTACACACGCTAACTTGACTTTGACTTCAGATATTATGTAACTTCAGCATGTATATGTTTGAGCACGGCTGAGTCATTGTTGTCATACAAAACTGGGTTGTTCCTTTGAGGGAGTTTTACGTTATGTTTAGTTTTTGTAATTTGCTGTGGTTTAGGTTGAGCTTTGCTTTCAATGACATCTGGTGGTCTGCTATTGGTACTGCAGACAGTTTGCATTTGTGGTTTCACTATAGTTGAAAAAAAGTTTAATCAAGTTATTGTTTATGCTTGAGCTTTTGTTCAAACCTATTTTCTGAAGTAGTAAATTTTCATGTACACCTTTCCTGGATTTGGAATTATGGGTCATGGAATTTCAGGAATGTTACGGAATTGAAGAAGGCTTAGATATTAGATATTGAATATCAAGGATTTCAATTTTTTCAAGTCATGTAATATCAACATGGGCCGGTACATAATTCTGACGGTATGATAACCTTGGATAAAAATATCATGGCTTCATGGTATTGTGATTACTGCTCTAAAATATATTCTTTTTAAATGTCTGGGTAAAAAAACAAAAACATATTTTCTCCTTTGAACACAAAACATTTTATTTTAAGAAACATTTATAATATTATATTATAATATATATAACATGTCAGGTAATTTCTTTACAATTTAAAGCAGCATCTTTGGATATCTTTTCTGCTGGGGACACTGTTGCCCTAAAAAACTAAGAAAAAATGTAATAAAAACGTACATATATAATTTTGGCAGTTTTAAAATTTAGAATTTTCCAAACCATGTTGAAAATGGTTATCTTCCTATGGCTAAATATTAGGGATGTCATTTTAAATTTTAGTTTTCATTTATTAAATAAAAATGTTCTTTATCATGTTTTTATATCACACCGTTTCTCGCTTGCTTAGGATAATGTAAATCTTAAGAGCTGGGTTCTAAAAAGCAGTCACAAAAAAGCTAAATACAGTATACATTTTGTAAAACAATTACTTTTTGAGCTATCAAGTATAGGAGAAGAAGCACTTCATAGCCACAGCCAAAAAAATAACTGAGCTAAATTACCCATTGTTGATCTTCACAAAGTGTCTATTGAAGTCATGCAAAATTATATTTATTTTATTATTTTAGCATATTATTCAATGTTATATGATTAATGTATAAGGACAACATCAACCTGTTTTCCATTCATTAGAAGTCATGGAAATACAGTTTTTTAGTCGGAGAATGTCAGGGAATTAGACATTTGGTTTAAAGTGGGAACACTTGAGTGATTTAGTTATATTCCTCTTGATGACCATCGTGTCTAAAACGTGCAGAGTGTTTCAGTGATTAACCCCACCCTGTATTCCTCCTGTCTAGATCCCTGTTCTATGCCTATCTTTAACTTAAGGCTCCTGTGGTCTCGTGGATACTGAAATGGAGACTGAGCTTTATTTAGATCTCATCTGATCTTACCTTCAGCCAGTGATGTAATGCCAATCTGGAGCTTGAATTATTTATGTATACTGGAATTCATTTGAAAGTCTGCAAAAATGTTACAGTTTTGGTCAGAATAATTTTTAATAAATTATTATATGGAATTTAGTTATCTTCTATTAGTATACAATGTAAATTAAATCAAAAGGTTACACATTGATAGGATGTATAGGGTTATTAAAATATACTATTATTTTAAATATTTTTAAATATATTAATACTATTATTATTTTTTTACCCATTTTCACTGACAGAGATTTCTTTACCAGCATCAAGCCAGGTGTGAAGTCCTTAAATCCTTCATTTTAATCTGCTGTTTTTGTGTATTTTTGTGTTAGGCTTGTGGTTCTTATTACTGAATAAAAAAAATCTATATTATAAAAAATAAAATGTATTATTAAATGAGTAAAAACAAGTATGGTTTGCGTTTAAGGCCACAAGGGGGCACTATGGATTTAGGAAACACAGTAAATGTTTTTAGTATGAGACTATATCTGGTTCTCTGTTATTGTATACTAGTGTGTTTAATCCCCCAGATCACTTCTACAAAGTGCATCTTCTGTTAGACTTAGGAGTTGTTTGTTCTAAATATAGCCTGTCTTGCAGGAGGCATTTACCGGCCAATTCATTAGCTGCTAAATGATGGAGGTGCATAAGCCTTTGTTTTTCAACGCCGTAAGTGATTCTGAGACGGCCTTTTATCGGCTGCTGCTTCAGTATTAATTAGCTGAGAGCTATAAAGCATTGTTTAAGCTTTGTTGTTTGCTGACTTTAGTCATACAGTAAACAGGATTTGAATAATTTTAGCTTCAATATTTAAGCTGTCTAATCAGCTTTTAATTCATTTTGACTGCTTTATTGATACTTTTACATTTCGCTAAATCCCTTTGTTATTCCTAATGACTTTTGAGAGTTGTTTCATACATGTGCTCAATGCACATCTTCACTGATGCTTGTGAGGCTCTACTAGTATGTGAAATTGAATCTAATGCACACATTCAGGGTGACAGGAGCAAAAATCGAAAGATAAAAAAACTCCTTTACTCTGAAGTAGTGTCTTGGTATATTTGTATTATATTTTATAGTTGGCGGTGGAGTTCATGATATTAACATACGCTAGATGTATCTGTTATGATTCAGATTAAACGTATAAATAACTATGATATTGAAATAACCAAGCTAACTAATATGTTTTCAAATTTAGAAATACGTTTAATGTTTGTTGCGTTATATTAATGTTACTGGATGTTCTGTCCTAGAATGTCAGATGCCAGTAGAGTGTGTGCTGGGATTTGAGTTGTAAGCCATTATTTATATTAAATAAAAAATAAAACCACTTTATAAAACAACATATCAACAACTGTTCATAATAATTAACCATGAATTATTGTTAATGATTAACAACAGTAATTCATTCTACATACAGAATGTGCTTAGATCAAAGTTTCATGAAATCTGAGCTATTTGACATAACATTATGAATATTTTATCATTGTAAGTCTACGTCTTATGGCATCTTCACTCTAAAGTATATTTATGTGGCAGAAAATTTTTTTTGTCCATTCAGTATGTAATGTTTTCATGATAGTGTAGTTAGGAACAAATAAATCAAATAATTGTAAATAGACCATTTTCACATTTTAAATCCTTGTTTAAGTTTTTAATATTAATAATTTAATTAACTATGTTTAATATTTTGCACATATGTACATTTTATAAAATTATTATTTTTATTACATCATTGTTGCAATAAATTACAAAAACAAAACAAAACACTTTCTAATGCAGTTATGCCCCTTGCCTGGGACAGTAGATGAAATTTATTTTTTTCCTCTGCTGTTATTGGAAAACACAATCGTGAAGTTTTTCTTTTGCTACTGTATTTAAGCAAATTGGAATGCAAAAATGTTTTATTTGTGGTACTCTCTTAGTCACTGTTCTTCAAGTTTACCCAACTTAGATGACTTCCGCTGCTGAGAAACTTGGAAATGTGAAAAGACTACATAACATGGACAGGCATTGGCACCTGGGATGTGTGGCACCATTTTTTAAAAATAGAATCTCTATAGTCCCTTTCTGAAATTTTAGGAGAGTGAGCAGAAAGTTTTAAGGAAGTTTAAATTTACTTGCAAGAAAATTATTCAAAAATTTCCCCCATTTCAACTGTATTACTGACAGATGCTTTTCTAATTAAATAGGCGTACAGAAATGACAATATGCCATTTTATTTTAAGGATATCCCTGGCTCCAGACTAATATTTAATACCAGTATCTCTGAGTTCTACAGCTGGTGGCAGAAGCACCTAATTTGGTAGTGCTATCCATATAATATTTATAATCTAACTTTTGACTGAGAAATTCTTATATGACAGTAGCTTGAGCTGAGAATAACTGGAGCATGAGTTTTGGTATAGAGTGTGGTCACGATGTGCATCTGGTCAGTGTTGTGAAATGCACTTACATACTCTTTTCTTTTGAGCTGAACTACTATAATAAATGGTCTGTGCTGTGATCTGTTTATCCCACTTTTGGTGCATTTGTCATTAAAAAATATTATATGGAAGTGAATAGCAATGCTGTCAGACAGGCAAATCGGCACAACTGCTAGCCAAACTTAGCAATGTCAAGGAAAAAGTCTCTAAATATGACCATTTAGTCACATTCTGAATCCCTAGGGAGGCTGCTTCACTCAATAGAACAGAGACCATTGACATATTTGTCACTTGAGACAAGTCATTCTATATGCAGTTCAAAGCAGGAGTGTGAAACAGTGAACCTAAATCTCCATACACAGCCACTTCAAGAAGACAGTCACTTCAAGAATCACAATACTAATACATGATGAACACACAATATCAATTTATTATCTAATTGACAAATATAGAGGCATTATTTTCTTATCCAATCTGTGTTTAATTGATCAAACAGTATGTTTCTGAGACATAATTTTTCATAATCAAATCATAATAATAAGGCATAATAATCAAATCAAGTAATTTTTGACCAATTTAAAGCATGAAAAAGAATATTAATTTCTTTCCAGTTTATTAAAATAAAACATTACGTTCGAAACGCTGGGTTGTTTTTTGGGTCAAATTTGGGTCAAGTTTGGACAAACTAAACTAATGGATTAAAACTGTATGTAAAAAATGTTACCTACAGCAGCTGAGTTTGTCCATGTTAAACTCAAAGTTTGCTTATATAAACTTAATTTACATATATTTTTGAGTTTAAACTTTTTAAGGTCCATGCATATTGACCTTTTTTCTTCGTGGCCATTGAAAAAAATTCTCCATTCTAAGTATGTCTGCACAGTATATCGTTTCAGCATTGATATCACAATGTGATCATTCACAATATTCACATCGTGAGTACACGCAATGTTGAGTCTGGATTATAATTGATCATTTCACAAGTGTTTTTTAAGCTTGTGACTGTAAGGATTTTAAAAGCATTCATGCTTAAGAACTAACTGTTTGTAACTTACAATAAACAATCAATTTTTTTAAATTGTTTATAAAATTGGAAGACTATGCAGTATTATATTTTACATTTGATTCTTTAATTGCTGTATGTCTGAATATAGTTTCACTACTCGGAAAACAATAAAAACAGTTTATTGAATTTTTTTCTTTATTTGTTTTATTATTTCTTGCAGACTTTCTTATGTTTTATTCATATGCACTCCCCTACAGAATCTTCCTAATCAAATTTAGCAAATTCAACTAATGTAGTGAAATTCTATTTATGAACAAAAAAATATCGCAATTTTAGATTTTTTCCAATATTGTGCAGCCCTAATTCAAACTATATCCAGGTGTCCAAGTATTTTAGCTTTGGATGTAACGTAATTGAGGAATTCAAATACATTCCTTTTGATCCCCACCCAAATATGATGTTTCACTCCGGAGCAGTGCTCAGTTTGTGTGAAATGTGATCAGGATTCTGGGCTTGTCCGATAGGACCTTTCTTAAATGTTATCTGAGGTTCTGTCGGTATCGGTCCAGCTCTAAAGGGACCTTTAATCCGATCTTCCTGGCTGATTCGTGCTGGCCCCCGTGAAACGGGCTGCGTTATTCCGGCTCTTTCAGCGCAGGAGGAGAGAGCTGATGGGGCTTGGACTGCGTGTCTAAGCTGCCGCCCGGCGCAGTGAAATGTCATTTCCTCTGAAGCAACCTGGCGTGACTAAGCCCCTTTATACATAGAGAGAATCAGAGAGAGAGAAACCTGAGAGACTGTGTGTGTCGGTGAAGTGTATGAACTCTGGCTGCTTTCAATACACTTTTTGTGCACTTGTAAGTCGGCAGGGTGTGTGTGTGTGTATGTAATGTGTATATGCGCGTATTGATGTCCAGGAGCAGGGCTTGTCTCTGTTTAAGCACATATTCATATGATGGATGGGATTTGAGAGTGTTCTGTCAGCTTGGATGACTCGAAGAGATGTTTTTGTTCTGTGAATGTATCGCAGTTGCATGATTGATAATGTTTTCTAAAGTTAGCTGAGAGCTTATTCATACTCTTTTCACAGCTACCTGCTCTATATGAAATATGGACCATTATGCAGAAACTTTCACAGCGTACTGTTTTTGCACAAAAGTCCCCATTTAGAAAAGTCCATGTATTTAATTTAGCTTGAAGGGATGGTTCAGCCAGAAATGAAAATTCTGTCATCATTTATTCCAAACTTTTTTTTTTCTGTAAAGGGCCTGGTTTAAAGAATATCCCAGGGTTTTCTTTTCAGTAATGAACACGAATGATGATCTGGACTCTTAAGAACTTTAATAACAAAATTATTGTAAATATGATTCATTTTAGGGCTATAATTAAAAGAGCTATAACAATATAATGTTTATAATTCAGTGTCAATACCTAAACAAACTTTGTAATACCTAATAAAAAGCAGACCAGTGACCAAGATTAAATTTAATTATCATTTGCTTTTCAGTTGCTTTCCAATTTCCTTCTTACCGCCCTCCAGTTTTATATTTTCTGTCAAATACATTTTATAATAACTGGTTCAAATGATTAATGTCATGACTATTTAATGACATTCTATTAATTTATTTAAAAATGCATGTTTATGAACTCTACAAGTTGAACTTTTTCATCAATTACATTTTTAATCTTTTTTAAAATGTACACAGCAAAAACAGTGTAATTAATCTCAAAATAAAGCTATTATTATTATTATTAACTTAAGAGTTTTATTTTAATAGTCAGCATAATATTAAAAAAAACTTATTTTTATTTACATTTTTTAAACCTTTTTTTTATTTGGACAAAACTGTTGTCTTCTTAATTATTTCTATGTAATATTCTGCACACTGCCATTTAAGCGTTTAGTGTCTGCTAGTTGTTTTTGAATAAAACCTCCTAGGATCACAAAGGTTGAATTTATTTGATCAAAAATACAAGTCTACTATTCAAGCAACAGTTTCTTAGTTTAACAGTATTACTTATTTTTGTATTTTTTTCTGAAGTTATTAATTCAGTCTTCATTCAGTTTTAACATTTTGTCTGTGATAATAATAAAAAATCACAAATTGGGCCATCACTGTACTGGCAATAAAGAAGTTACATGTTTGAGCTAAAGTAGGAATGAACAATTTAATTGAAGGTTGACTGAGATTCATTACCAGCAAGACACTTCATTGACATTGCATTGATTTATAGATGTCTCTGCAATTAGTGCAGCTTTAAGCATTTGTTAAATGCCAAGTAACTAAATGAAAAAAAAAAAAAATATATATAGATAAATAAAAAAAAACTATTGTTTTCAAGATGTTGTACTTTAAGAAGAGTAATTTATACAACATTTTTACAATTTATACCAATTAGTCAAGTGCTTCATGTGTACACAAAGCATAAAATAGCTCTAGATGTTTACTCATAATTTTTAAAATGGTGAATGATGTATTAAAGCTATTATCACTTCAGTTGGTTGCAGGTCTGTAACGCTCTCAAGTTTTACTCCCATCCTTAAAATCAATTCAAAGCGGTTCTTCAGAACGAATCTTAAGATGAGTCACATCAGAGCAATTTCTTTGCTTGCTACAAATCAAGGCTAAGCCGTGAGGCCTTGTTTTATGGTATTTCTTAGCAATACTTAAGCGCATAAAAATGTGGAGAACATCTTTCTTCAAAGAGCTTATTTTCTTTTGAACTCCTGGTGCCAGACTCAATGTGTAGAATCACTTTAAAATGCATTAAAAAGCACCCTAATAGCTGATAACTGCCCCTTTGCTTCTCTGCCACACAGCTTGAAATGTCCTTTTATTTTCTGTCTGAGGACAAATTGAGGTTTTGTTGCGGTGTATTGATTTTCACCTTGGCGTGCTTTTGCATTTTCAAATAATCAGATGTCCTGAAAAGTCGTTGCTTTTATATACGCTCTTTGTATATGACGCAAAAAAAAGTTTTGTTTTCTAACATGTGTCTACAAGTGACTGCGTCCCTTTCCTTTTGTATGATCACCCTAACATGAACTTAGGAGTTTTACTGTTTTTTAAAAATCATTATTTCACTGCCTCTCCCTCACTGGCTGTTTCTTGTGCACAGGACATTCTGAACAACCTGGATAATACTGGCTCCTGTGACCTAGAAGATGATGACCTCATGCTTGATGTAGATCTGCCAGAAGATGCAGCATTACTCAATGGTTAGTAAACACACGCACACACACATGCACACAATTATGTGCTTTACTGATATTTTTATTCTGTGCAAACTGTTCTATTCTATCCTCTAACTAAACACAACACACTCTGAAGTCGTCTGACAATTTCTAAGTACACTGCTTTGTATGTAAGGAATTTGTTTTTATGTTTACCTTTGATCTGTTAAATCATCCTCTGCTGATCAGGTTTAATCATTCTGTTGATTGATCATTGCAAAGTTAAGTGGTGGACGCTGCTTTGAGTGTGATGGCAATGTCATAGTTTCCTGCCATTCATCTGCTTCAGCTGCCAGATACAATCATAATAAACGAATGCTTTCATTGAGCAAGGGGAATTTCTTTCTTTCTTTTTTTTTTTTTAAGATTTATTTTTGGCCTTTTTGCCTTTATTAGATAGGACAGTATTGAGACAGGAAGCGAAGTGGGAGAGAGAGAGGGGGGGTAGGGTAGGGAAATGTCGTCGAGCCGGGATTCGAACTCGCGATGCCCTGACGTGCTATGGCACCATATGTTGGCGCACTAACCACTAGGCCAGGGGTTTTCAAAGTGTGAGGCGCGCCTCCCCTGGGGGGCGCCAGAGCATGTCAGGGGAGGCGCGGGAAAAATATTATATAATAAAAATATAATTACTAAGTTTAATTATTATATGTATTTTTTATTATATTTAAACGTTTAAATTAAACAAAGCAAAAAAAAATAATGCGTCAAAAATAAGAAAACCTTTTTTTACCCAGAAGGCCATAGCTGTGAATTCGCTTCTGTTTGGCCTGCCAATACAGGTAGCTATATGCCTGCTAATTATGCCTGCTAATACAATGGATCGGTTTCTGAGACCCCCCGATTCAAAGCCTTCAATGGTTCAGGGCTTAAACCCAAAAGACGACGATATGATGATCAGCATTTGAGTTTAGGATTTACGTGGACAGGACCAGCTGATGAACCACGACCTTTAAGTGTGGTTTGTCAAGATATTTTGGCTAATGACAGCATGAGACCTGCTAAACTTCGACTGTTTTGACTGGGATGAACAGTTCTTGGATCTGTTCTATTCATATTGAACCATCATCCTAGTTTTAAAAACGTTATGTTAAAATACTTGTTATTACTCTGTAAATAATTGCACTTTCGTGCAAATGATGATAAAAGTGAGTTAACAGTCTGACATCTGTCTGTGTCTTTATATATACTGTATATTCCTGTCTTAGACTTTGAAAACCCCTGCACCAGGCTATTGCGCCGACAGGACAAGGGAATTTTAAATTGACATGCTTAATGTTACAAATATTACTATCTTTAAAAATGCTGAAAGGCAATGCTGGAACATTTGAATGAATTACATTTTAAAATGCATTAAAATAGAAAAGAGTTATTTTAAAATATTTTTTTTCATTTTATATTATATTTCTGTATTTTTTATCTATTAAAAATGCAAGCATGATGTGCTGAAGACTTTCAAGAACATTAAGCCTAAACTTTTGAAGTAAACTAATTCTTGTATATTACAGCCAGTAAGTGCCAAGCATACTAAACTTATTCCTGTTTTCTCTCAGTCGGAGAGCGTGTGTGCTTAGAAAGTGTAAGTGGAGTCACAGGGTGTTTACGGGTTCTGCAGATTCTAAACTCTGGAACACGTAGACAAATTCCACCCTGGAAATGGCAAACAAAAGAATTTAGATGACATTCAAATGAATAAGTGCATCCTCTGTATACAAGAATGACACACAAGCCCTTCCTGTTAGGGACCGTCCTGTCTGGTGCCATTTCTTGTGAGCATCTGTTTTTCCTTGTGTTTTTGTCTTTGTCATGTTTAGATTTAGTATTTTGACCTGCGCCATCAGCAGGAATCAGTCAGTTTCACACCGCATGTGTGTGGTATGTGTGTGTGTGTTGTATTTATAGCCGTGGGCATTATGCCCTGCAGTCATGTGAGAGGGGTTGCAGAGCCAGAGGAGGGAATAGATGACTTCAGACCTCCTCCCCCTTTCTCTCTGTCTACTTCCCTCCTTCATTCCTTCCATGGCAGATCTGTCGGTTTGGCTCGCAGGAAGGCCTGCTGCTTTGACGCTGTTCCTCGTGACTAGAGAGGAGACCTTGCCTGCGGGCTTTACCGACCCGGCCGACAACATCATCGCCAGTTCCCCTTCTCTTCTGAAGGCCCCGTGGCTCTGGGATTCACAGCTGTGTGCGTCTCATCTGGTCAAAACTCCTAGGGAGTTCCCAGAATTTATACACACACACACCCACGTTCCAGCAGGGTGGAAAAGTTTGGATTTGCAGATGCTCGGGTGGCCAGTGAGAAAGTCTTAGGAACTTTGACACAACTTGTTAAAGTTTTCTACATACTTTTCACTCAACTTTGGAATTTCTAACTTGGGGGATTTTTTTCTTTTGGACTTGTCAGTCAAAACAGAGCATCCCTGCTCTTAGTTCTAAGGGTATTTGTATTCGTGTGAGTGAGTTTTTGGACTGTTTTTCAAGTCTGTTTTTGAGGCTCTGGCGGTGAACCGGACAGCAAGGACAAGAGGAATGTAGCAGGTCTGTTTTGGAGCTTAGTTTTCTGTCTGTTCCACTTGCTGTCTTACTTTGTGCTTGCAAAAAGTGTGTATAAAGATTGAGAGAGTGCTTGTGTGTGAGACGGCAAGATTTCGTATGCCTCAGTGTGTGTTTGTGAGTTTGCCCTGATATCTCGCCTCGGGCAGTGTGAGAGCTTTGTGTCGAAACTCTAAGAGCTCAGCATTTGGAAGGACGCTTCACAACCTCCCAGAGAAAGATGACCTTCTTTTTTTCACGAAGGAGTGCGTGTCTGTTTTTGAGCTTGTGTCTCAGAGACTAACTGAATGTGAAATACTCAGTTTGAAAGTGAATGGGGTTGTGTGTTTGTTTATTTGTCATTGATTGAGCTTGACCCCTATATGCAGAAGGAATGGCCCACTTTGAGCACTCTGAGAGGGGGGGCCGGCCGGCTCAATGGAGAAGGAGGCAGCAGAGGTGGAGCGGAGCAGATCATACTCATAATGACAACAGGTGAACGTGTCAGAATATACTTTTGGTATATTAAGCTGAAAATAAAGAACATGATATGATTGGACTAGCACCAATCTAATTTCACAAAGTAGGGCATGTACCTGGATTAACATCTACTGTATGTTGATCTTAATATTATCGTGGAATTCCAATCAGAATTGGGCGATATGTTTAGCGTTTATGTTAAGTTAAGGCTTACTGTTAGGTTTGTGCAGTTCTACATGAGTGTTATCCAACTATCATTCTTCTTTGAATTTGGGAATAATATACAATTATGGGTGGGTTTAAGGGTAGGCAATAGGTATGGATTACATTTTCCAACAAAAAAGATGTTCCAGGATCAACATAGATGTTAAATCAGGATCACATCGAACGTCGCAAAATCATGATGTGCATTGGAGTATAGGTTGGGGGCATTACATATCGAGCAGGGGTTTACATCATTGGTTATGTTTTTACTATATCAAGTTGCAGAATTTACAATGATGAAGGGCAGAGAGTTGCTGAATAACTCTTGAACGATTTTAGTTGCTGTCTGGGTTTTCACTGCCTTTTTTATACCTCCCCTTCTTTATGTGTTCAATACTTTTTTTCTTTTGTATTTACATATTAATTATTCATTACACATAACTTAATTTGTAAACTAATTAGATTTGTTTTTATATATGTATTTCTTTGATTGTCATCTGCATCTGGTAAAAATTTCAAGTCAGCTGCACTAGCTGAAATATGTTGAAAAAAATGTCACAAAAAATAGTGATGTGTTGAATACTTAAATTACATGCTTTGTCATATCAATTTAAAAATAATTATTTTAGTTTAAAGGGAGTACTATATTCACCATTCATGATTAGAACTGTCCGTTTTAAAATAGAGGGGTAATTAAAATATTGTTAATATTGTAGTACCAGGTGAGGAAAGTAAACATAGGCTCAACTGATGTTTATGTGCTTACAAATAATTTCCTTAAACAAGTGAATTCACTGAGGGGTACCAGAAGGATGCTAAATTAAAAAAAATATATTGTTTTTGTTTTGTTATTGTTTTTGTTTTGTTATTGTTAATACGTACTTTGAATTGTTTTCCTTTTTAAATATTGTCCAAATGATGTTTAACAGAGCAAGGAAATTTTCACAGTATGTCTGAAAATATTTTTTCGTCTGGAGAAAGTCTGATTTGTTTTATTTTGGCTAAAAAGTTATTTATTTAAATAAAAATGTATTTATTTGTCTACAGAACAAACCATTGTTATACAATTACTTGCCTAATTACCCTACCCTGCCTAGTTATTTTAATTAACATAGGGATGCCTTTAGATGTTACTTTAAGCTGTAGAGAAGTGTCTTAAAAAATATCTAGTAAAATATTATTTACTGTCATCATGGCAAAGATAAAATAAATCAGTTATTAGAAATGAGTTATTAAAACTTATGTCTAGAAATGTGCTGAAAAAATCTTCTCTCCGTTAAACAGAAATTGGTGTAAAAATAAATAGGGGGGCTAATAATTCAGGCTGGTTAATTATTCTGATTGCAATTGTATATCATTTTTAATTCTATGTCTATTATGATAAAAATTACTTTGTTAATATTTATCTCATCACTTTGACAAATACAAATATATTTAATCTAAAATATGTTACTAAAAAATATGTTACTACTGTATGTAATAGTAATATCAGCATTTAGTATTTAAAAAATAAACATACAAGTTTAGTATATATCAACCTAATGTCAGTGTCTTCACAATGACTGCATGTTCCTACATAATAAATGGGCATTGCTGATGTCTATATAAGGATGTCAGTCAGTTTCTTCTTGCTGACAACAAAAAGTTTGAAAGAAGTAAAAGGAAAAAAAAAAGACTTGGCTTGCAGTCTGTTTTCATCACTTTTGATTTCAAAGATCAAGAAAATAGATTTTTCACGACATGGGAGCTTGTCTGCTGAGGTTGTGCTTCTTTTGCTAAATTATATTAAGTCTGAACTCTGAACTTGTTTTTTCAGGCTGGCCGGGTTTCATTACGATGCCTGTCGTACAGGCCATCGAACCCTCCATCCTGCAATTCAGCATGACAGTCACACAGTGGCGCTAGATGAGCTCACTCTCAAGCACATGACAGAAGACTGTTCCTCTGTCAAATCACAGCTGCTTAAACTCAAGAGTCTGTTGCAGGTACCAAACACACACACATACAGCCGGAAGAGTCAAATTTACACTTACAAATGCAAACACAGCTGTTAGCCTCTTAGCAAGTTTCAGTATGTGTGTAGGTGGAAAACAAAAAGAGAGAAAGAGAATAAAAGGAAGAGAGAAACTGTAAACATGAGCAATTCATCTCCTGAATAAATTGTCATTTTATGTAGATGGATGATGGTGAGATTACTCCAGAGAGTTTGGATTCCAGCGAAGATGACAGCAGAGCCCAGCAGGTCCGTAACATCCCATAAACACCCACCTGAATAGAGCTGTTCAGTCCTAAAAAGAAGAAATTAGCATTTTCAAGGCATGAGGTCCCCTAGGAATGTCTAATGTGTTTTTAAAAAAGTGGTTTTCAGATGCTAAATGCTTGTACTAGAAGAGACTTGCCTGGTTTATTCTCCAGGATAAATTATGACATAAGTGATGGCATAAGTTCCAGTCATATCTTAAAATATGAACTTTGAGACTGTCGTGTGCTTTAAGATTGCCTGTTGTGAAGAAGTTACGTAAAGACTAAATGTGCACACAGCATTTGAAAGGTTTTACGTTTTTGCTTTATTAATAGCATTTTCTTCTAAAAAGTAAATATGCACATAATGAAGATATTTTAATATTGTAAAGGAAGTATTAAATCCAATCATTTTACGCATGTTTTTTTACATACACTTACTTGTCAGTTTATTGAGTAAACCTGTTCCACTGCTTGGTGATGATGATCAGCTGAACTTCAAAGAGTTAGGTTTTTTAAAGGTGCAGTATGTAAGTGGTTGAACTAGGTATTGCACTCCTGGTTCAAAACACACGCAAGCGCAGGTTGCCAGATTGATGACACCAACAGGAGTGAGCCTGAATGTTAAGCCTAAAGGCTGATTTAAATCATATTCCAAATAAAGGTAAAGGCACACAATAGAAGGAAAAATTTTCCATACTAAAAGGAGTTTTTGTTCTAACCAACACCTGAAATGTATATTTTGAAAACGGCTTCTATTTTTTGCAGCTGAACAACAAAAAACTATGACAATGACCACCTCAGGTACACCTCATGTGCTTTTTAGTGTTCAATGCTAATAATGCGAGTTTGAATGCCATTTTACTAGATGTTAATTGGCATACTAAAAACAGCAGCAGATCAACTCATATCTTAAAAGATATATGAACCATTTGAAATTGAACTTCAGAACTGACATACAGTGTGATTTACATTTAATAGTCTTAAAGTTGTTATGTATTAATTCGATTATAAACTGTACCATTTAGTTGGAGTTTGCGGCTGCACACTTTGAGAGCCTTCCTGATTGAATGAATCTAATACACAGTTTTCCACCAAGGCAACCCCGGGGTTCTGAAATATAATTGGATAAACTGGCAATGGGCGGGTTGAAGGGACCAAAACAAATGGACAGATATTCTAGCACGTAACTGACTTTTTCAAAGCAGAATATCTAACTTTGGCTTTGTTTTTCAGATGAGGATTGAAGATTGTTCACTTAGCATGTCTCTTTAATATCTCCAATCATTTTGTGTTTTTTATGCTGCAGAAGAGTCAAAAACATACATACTGCATCTTTAGATTTAATAAATAGTTGAACTTGATCTAGAAATATCAGAAAAACATAATCCACATATGTAGTGCTCTCAAAGCAGTAAATGAAAACAAGTAAGTAAATTAGGACATGAAAATATGCGTTTTAGCGTGTGTAAACCTTAATCAAACTATAGCTGTGTTCACACCGTCTCATAATTACCAACTTTGTGATGTCAAGATGGTGACATTCTACTAAGAGTTGTTCATTTTCTCTGACCTGAAATTATATATTTTTGTGGCAGCACTATCAACACCTATTTGTTTATTTTACTAACAGTATTTGCAGTGGTCAGTTGATGCAAGTCGTAGGTCTTACACAATTTCCAGTTTATGAGTTGTAATTTTGTTTGAACACTTGTTATTGAAGGGCATTAGTGGTTCGATAAATGGACTTAATAGCTTAAACTGGATTCGAACACAACAAATGGCTGTTCTCTCAAATAGTGTCATTTTTAAGGCTATGGAGGTCTATTTCAAATACATCCAGACTGGATTATTGGACACTTCATCCACTCAATGGTCTCAGCTTTAATTATGGTTATCATGCTCTGAAATAATCTTATAAAACTTGTACACTAGACTGGAGAGTAAATAGTCTTTTAATCTTTTAAATGAACAACGTGTAATTTGAGACATAACCTAAAACTACTTATGAATCCTAATGCAGCGGCTTGTGTTTTTAAAGCACACAGAATTTTCTGAATTCACTTTTGAGCTGTGTGTAATTTATGAAGTAGAACAAAACATTAATATTTCTCTGGTAATGTTTACCTCAGACCTTATTATGCTCATAAATTGTAAACTGCTTTTCTAAAAAGCCATTAGTAATTCCTGTGGGGACCCATGGTAAATTAGTCTTCGGTTTTGGCCTACAAATTGAAGTCAACAGCTCTGTGCACCTCTTTTTCCATTTGGTAGACATGTATTATTAATGTGTAGACGATATGGTGCAATATTATTTGTGTATGCTTTTAATATTTACTCTTTTTGTGTTTGTCAGATGGAGGAGCTGATGAAGGAGGTGGCACGTCTCAGGGAAGAGCTGAAAAATAAAGATAAAATCATCACACGGCTCACTCATCAACAGCATCAGGAATCGGTGAGCCTTCGCCCATTCCTGACAGATTTGCACTCATGCTCATTTTGACAATTTTGTATTGATTGAAAATGCATAATACATGAGTGGCTAATCAGAGCCTGCAGTGTCTGCTCTAAGATGCTAACGTCATGCTAACTCCATGTCTGCATATATGAGACAAAATCAGGATGAGATGTTCTCAGAATAATTCACATCTCATGCTGTTCATTAACCTCCCTGTTCCAAAAAGGAAAAACAGCAAATGGTGAATCATCAACACGTGCACTTTAACCTTTACTCCCACTTACTGTCACCTTCAGTAAGCAATTATATCATTAGCTCCAATAAACTCAAATCTTCTGGGTTATGCTGATTGCAAAGCAAAGATGAAAGCAAATTATATTTCTTTACATTAGAACAAGAGTATTAGTGGTGCTTAAGGCAACCCTCAATATTACTAATGCATTGGTAAGTAAATGTAACTGGCTCTAACTCACTTAATGAAATATCAATGACACTGCAAATTGTGCACAGTGATGAAGAGATGTGCTGTTAGCAACCTCATTTTCAACTAGACAACCTGACCATTCTTGTGCAAGGGATTATTGTGCAAAAATGTTAAATGACCAATGTCTTTATACAAAGTTCTGTTCCATTTAGTTACTCATTTGTTTACTTAATTTTAAACCACATTTGTGATTCTGTATTATTATTTAAAAAATGTAATTTAATTATTTGTGTGTGTGTGTCTGTGTGTATATATATATATATGTATATGTACAAACACACACACACACACACACACACACACACATACACATGTTTACACCAATTCCTTCTCATAGCTGTTAGGTGTTCCTGTACAATACAATGTCTTCGAAATTATTATTCCACCATTTGGAATTTTCTGTTTAAAGGATTTAGAAAATTACTATTCTATTAAACTTACACTCACTGGCCACTTTGTTAGGTATGTCTTACTAGTACCTGGTTGGGACCCCCTTTTGTCTTCAGAACTGCCTTAATCCTTTGTATCATACTGTAAATTCAACAAGCTACTGGAAATATTTCTTAGAGATTTTGGTCCATATTGAGATGATAGCATCATGCAGTTGATGCAGATTTTGCCGGCTGCACATCCATGATACAAATCACCCATTCCACCACATCCCAAAGGTGCTCTATTGGATTGAGAACTGGTGACTGTTGAGGTCATTTGAGTACAGTGAACTCATTGTCATGTTCAAGAAACCAGTCTGAGATGATTTGCACTTAATGACATGACGTGTTATCCTGCTGAAAGTAGCCATCAGAAAATGGGTACACTGTGGTCATAAAGGGATGGACATGGTCAGCAACAATACTCAGGTACGCTGTGGCGTCGACACAATGCTCAATTGGTACTAACTGGCCCAAAGTGTGCCAAGAAAATATCCCCCACATTACACCATCACCAGCCTGAATTGTTTATACAAGGCAGGGTAGATCCATGCTTTTATGTTGTTGATGCCAAATTCTGACCTTATCATCCAAATGTCGCAGCAGAAATTGAGACTTTTTAAGACCAGGCAACGAGAGGTGAGCCTCTGGGAATTGTTACTTCTGTTTCCTGTTCTTAGCTGGCTGGAGTTACACCCAGTGGGATCTTCTGCTGCTGTAGTTCATCCGCTTCAAGGTTCGAAATTGGTGTGTTCAGGGATGCTCCTCTGCATACCTCGGTTGTAACAAGTGGCTATTTGAGTTACTGTTGCCTTTCTATCAGCTGGAACCAGTCTGGCCATTGTCCTCTGACCTCTGGCATCAACAAGGCATTTGCGCCCACAGAACTGCTGCTCACTAGATATTTTCTCTTTTTCGAACCTTTCTTTTTAAACTCTAGAGATGGTTGTGCATGAAAATCTCAGTAAATTAGCAGTTTCTGAAATACTCAGACCAACATGTCTGACACCAACAACCATGTTCAAAGTCACTTAAATCACCTTTCTTCCCCATTCTGATGCTCTGTTTGAACTGCAGAAGATCATCTTGACCATGTCTACATGCCTAAATGCATTGAGTTGCGGCCATTGATTGGCTGATTAGAAATTTGGATTAACTAGCCTAATATGTACCTAATAAAGTGGCCATTGTGTGTATATCATAGAAATTCAGAAATGGCATAAATATTAAATAATAAACGACAAAATAATTCTGAAAGTTTTTTTAAACTTGACATTATTGCTATTATTATTTAGTTGTTTTTTATTAATATTTGTAACTGGGGATTAAATAATAATAATAGTAATAATGCATTAGTTTTACTGTAGTTGCTTTCACATGTAAAATAAATTAATACATGATTTTAGTCATAACATAAAAAATCAGTGTAGTCAATATTCATTAAAAGACAAAAAGAAATCAAATTTCTTCCAGCAATGCCTGGGAAACTACTTCTATACTAGTTTTGAATTGCCAAGGTGCTAAAACCTCTCTTATTGTCTTCAGAAAGTGTAAAGTCATAATTGTTTTTCTTTTTATCGCTTTCTTTTTTAGCCAGTGAGATGCCACTGTCATCAGCATAAGCCTGGGGTCAGAGGTGAGAGGAGAACACATCATGATAAATCCACTCAGACGGTGTGGCGACCACCCCATCATCACCCTGCTGTGAGTCATTTCTCACTATCTGTCCAGCAACATGCATGTCTACATGACTGCATCACCCAGAAAACTCTGCCGAAATTTTAAGCCAGTGACACAAGTGTATCTTTGTATGCCTTAGTGAGATGTCATTTTCATTTCATGCTTCCCCCTCAACCTCTCTGTGCTTTATAGGTGGCTAGTTGTTTACAAAAGGGGGAAGCAAATGTGTTGTCAGGACTGACAAATCAGACAACACATTCCTTCTGTTCTTTTCCTCTCCTCTGTCCTTCCCTCCAATGCGTTCGTTTTTCATGGTGAAATAGCCCAGCAGTCTCGCGGGACGCCCTGAGCTGAGCCTCGTTTGCCGAGGTGCCGATTTGGCCAATTTGCCGCTGCTAGGGGAAAACGGGCATCTACTAGAGAGTGCAGAATGATTGTCATCTCCTATTTAAGTGAAGCCGCGCTGCAGCCACTCCGGTGGTTTAGCTTTCACAGCCCCAGCCTGAGATGTTCACAGGGGGACGTGTTCTTATTGAAGACCGGCACACAATCAGCAAAGCTAACGGCACATGGCGAAAGACTGGAGTCAGGAGAGATTACAGGGAGGAGAGCGAGGTGAGGGAGGTAACAAGAGATGGATGACAATTTGAAAGTGGAAATGAGGACGAGAATGAAAGTTAGCAAGGATCTTGGACAAACCGCTGTTCAGTTTGTGTGCATGTTAATGTTTGAAAAATAAAGGGATTACTATTTTCTTTATCATTATGACCTTCTTCTGTGGTATTCTGTGCATCATGCCATATCATTCAGTGATTTCTCTTGGGTGAAAAGGCAGCAATAAAATAAAAGGAAACATCTTTTTATACAGAGGTTGACTTAAATTCCTGCTTCTGTTTTTATATTCGTATATATATAAATGTGCGTGTATGTGTATATATATATATATATATATATATATATCATCCACAGCACAACTCAGGAGCAAAATAGATTACTCTGGTGGCTTAAAGATATCTAACTCAATCCTTATAGCTAAAATAAACCTCATCACCACTTTAGATGAAAAGATTTAACAATGCATCTACTCAATTGTAACATATTTTTTGACATTTTAAAAATTATTTTGCATGTGTGTATTTTAAAAGTACACAGTAGCTACGATTCCATCCACTGATTTTTATGCACAATTTGAATATGCTAATTTTTGAATATCAAGATGACAAGTTGACAATGCGCATAAAAAACGTATGTGCATAACTGAATAGGATAAACTTTTTATTCTATAAGAAAAGATGTGCACAAACTACGATAGAAACAATTTTACCGAACAAATTCCAGTATTCGCATTAAAAAGTCATGTTATTTTTGTCACAAGAGATCATGTGAGGAAAAAAAATGTGTGTGAATGGACAAACCAGCAGGCTAAGCACATTGTAAAACATCTAAAATGTTGTTTTGGTCACTCAGTTATTATATTCTTACTTGCCTCCAGATATGTCAAGAGCGTTTGTACTCCACGTCTCATGCCTTCAAACACCACCACGCATTGATGGCGCATCTGCATTTGTCTTCTGAGGTGCAAGTCATTTATTAAATAATGAAAAGATTCATGCAGCTTTTCCTACCCCAGCAAATTTCATTTTTACTGTTGATATTTGGCACCAGTTAGTAAGGAAGTGACGATTTTATTCTATTTGACTCCTGTGTTGGAAATGCTGCTTTATTCGTATGTCTTATATGCTATATTCCAGTTTTGCGCATAAATTTAATTAGCATTTTTGGATGGAAACATAGCTAATGCTTTGTATGTTTGTGTGTGTCTATGAGAAAGCAGGTACTGATGAGCTGCTAAGCATCAGAACAGAGCTCATTAATATTTACAATCATACCATATATATGGTCAAAACTGAACTTTAAATTGTAGGAGTGAGTCATAAATGAGGACTCATAAATGAGCAAATAAAACATTTCTGGATAATTTTTTTTAAACTTGCCTAAGCCACATACCCAATGTAGATGTCAGAGAACAATCTAACATATCAGTGCACCTATATGGCACCTTTAAAATAAAACTTTGCATAATTTAATTAAAGTTATCTGTGAACAGTTGTTAATAATGTCTTTATGCAAGCATCATACAATGTACAACATATTAAAGCAATGTTTAATCTATGGATGTCTGTTTAATCATAACTCAAACACTCAAATATTTGTTCTGCCTAATCCAAGTGTGACATTCCTGGATGGACTCATTTGTTGTCCTTGGAACAACATTCTTTTCATGCAGTCATAGACACACTCATTTCCTAATGCAAAACGGAAGGCTAAAATTAGCGGGCAATCACTGGTTTCTGTATCAGGAACCAGCAAAGCATGTTGATCCAGGAAGACATCCTACTAGTGCAAATGACATCTTGTACATTAATTATGTACAAGATATCATATCATCTTTTGTTTACTGCAATCATGTCTTGTAAAACAGCTAATATATGTTGTTCTTGTCGACACTGCTTTTTTTGCGGAAATCTGCGAGTAGCATACTAATGTGAATACTACATGGAGTGCATACTCCATGATGTGCTGTCTCTTGCTCATTTAATGAGTCTTGCTGAGTCAGGGTTTGAACTGGTCCACTTTTCAGCTTATTTTGGCAAAGAACAATCCATTTAACCTGGAAGAATCAAGCTGCTACACTCTGTTTAGATGCAGGTAAATCTAAAATTGATTGTTTAGGATTGAATTGTGCATTAAAATAATGTCGCAATAGTCTCAATGAATGGGTTTGTCAGTCCAAAAGTGCAGATAGTTTTAAAGACAAAAGTTAAAAATGGCTTGTCAAACCCACATTTTAATTTTATTTTAATCAAGCTAATTTAGTGTTTGTGTGTAGTCAACTTCACAGACCTACCCCTTTTGAGATGGTAGCTCCATTTTCACCAGCATCCAGACTACTGTTCAACAGACGTGCAAATTCTCTTAGATCATAATTCAATTCAGTTATCTTTCAGAGTTATTTCTCATTCTTGATTCACCTTTTTCTAATTCATTAATTACTATATTAATAACTATATTAATACTTACAGTAGTTGTATGCTATTCTGCTTCTTTGATACTATCCTTACTGAAAAAAGAGCTTAAATCAACCTAAGTTGGTTAGCTGGTCGACCAGCCTTGTTTTAGAGGGGTTTTGGCCATTTTCAGGCTGGTCTCCAGCTATTTAAAACCTGTTCTTAGCTGGTCAGGCTGAGAGATGACCAGCTTAAACCAGTTGACCGACCTAACCAGGCTGGGAGCCCAGCCAAAACCAGCTATGTCCAGCTTAAACCAGGCAGGTCAAGCTGGTTTGAGCTGGTCATTTTCAGCTTGACTAGTAAGTCCAGACTGGTTTGCCAAAACCCATTTAAAACCAGGCTCGTCAACCAGCTAAAACCAGCCAAACAGCCTAGGCTGGATTAAGCTGTTTTTTTTCAGCATGGAGTAATAAAAATATATATTATAAAATAATAGTACTTCATTCACAATTAAACTATATTCATGTCATGAGCCAATTTAATTACATATATTTTTTATTATTTGAATAGTTTATATTACCATCACAATGCATTGTAAAAACTAACATATTCCACATGATCTGTTCACACAATCCTTTTTAAATGTTTTTAAGGATTTTGAAACAAAATTTCCATTTCTTTGGAAAAAGTAGAATTAAGAGTATAAAGAGTAATGTTGTGATTAATTGTTATAGTTAGAATACAGCAAAACTATCTTTTTAAAATAATGAGTTATTCTTGCAATGGCAAAGCTGAATATTCAGCAGTCTTTTTTTAGTCTTCACTGCCAAATAATCCTTAAAGAATCATTAAAAAAAAAAAAGGTTTTGGGACCTTGAAAAGGAAAAGGAAATGTAGACACCTTTGTCCAAGAACACGAATTCAAAGTTCAGAACACAAAGTTCAGAAGAGCAGCATTTATTTTCATAGCTAGATTTTATAGGATCTTTGCACGTTATTCATTTTTTCTTTTGCATTTGAGAAATTAAATTGCTCTTTGCTGAATAAAAAGTATTTATTTTCGCAGAGAAAAATATCTTCCTGACCTCAAAGTTTCAAATGGTAGTCTGTGTATGATAATTGGAATAAAACTGGCCTCAATGTTGTGCAGTTCCTCCAAAGCATCCTTCAGTTTTTCATTTACTGTATGCTTTTTTCATGTATACTTGAACAGATGAGTACAACACAACAAGGGCAAAAAATAAAGACATGAATGCTTTTAGCTTTATTATGACAGCATTTACAGAATGAGTTTTCTAGGTTTTGCTTTATGAAGAAAAGACTTGAAATTAAGATTTTCTCCTCAAAATCAACATACGTACGGCATAGGCTGTGCTCATCTTCTGTGCATCAGGTTTCTTTTATACGTCAACGCTTGCTTTTATCTGGCAAAAAAAAAAAAATATATGCAATCAATTTTCATAGGTAAAGGCAGACCTGTTAAGGGAATATATGTGATTTTCTTATCTCAAATTATTCCCTAGTGATGTAAAAGAAATGATCTAATAGATCCATAAGCATTAGTGAGGAATTTTGACATTGCGTTGTGTCTCTTTACTTGCCTTCTCACTGATCTTTTGGTCTGACATTCAGAAACGGATATCTTCTCAAAGGAAACGTGTATGTTTGTGCGCTGTTTCTCTGTGAGATTACTTGTGAAAGAGTTTGTCTTTCTAAACCGTGTTTGTCTAGATTCACTGGGGTTTGTGTCTCTGCGCAGCTGTGCGGGTGTCGTGTGTGCGTCACGGTTTCTCTGTGTGTGTGTTGCAGGCTGTACCTTCTCCTCTCCTCTCTCCCTGGCAGTGCCAGTACCAGGCTGCACCTCGTGCCAGCATGCCTCAACGCCGACAAAGTGAGTCATTAACCCCTGACCCTTGACCCTGTTCCTTTGGCAAAATGTTTGGCTTCCTTTCTGTCTCTTTCTCTCTGCTGTTTCCTTCCGTTCCCTTTGCTGTCTTCTCTGCAGGTTTAGGAATATATTAGTCACACACTCGTCTTCATTTTTCATGGCCTGTTCAGATTGCTGATATTTACAAGCAAAATGGCAATATCAATTAAATTTTTTTTGTGCAATGTTTTACGTATATAAAAATAGTACATCTGTATTATTGAAAAGTGAAGTAAAATAAGGTAAAAACATAATTTTCCTTTTTAACTTTGTTAAATTTTGCTACATAAAATCTGTACAAAACAAAAACAGCGACAAGCTGTATAAAATAAAAAATGCACATTCACTCTTTTCCTGTAGGTGGCACTTATAGAACAGCAGGAATAACACTGTTTTATTGATTAATGCAGTTAACAAAGTGGCTACGCTTTTATTTGGCATGATTATTCAGAGATAATCTAAACAGTGGTTCCTCTTATGGATACTTTAGTAGAACCTCCCAATCAATATTTGTTCAAATTGATGCAGAGCAATTTGTTCATGGTTGCTCAGCCATTCCTGTGTGGCGTCGGAGCTGCCAGTTCAGTATGTCTACATCTGAGTCATTGGCCTCTGTCAATACTCAGTTAACAAACTGTCTACTATTAAATCATTGCAGTGTGGTTTGTATGCAAGAACAAAACTGAGATCAGCTGAAATGAAACAAACAAATAAAAGTGTCTGGTTGCAGATCATGTTTTCAGAGCAGAAACGGCATATTCCAATGCTGGCTGCATTCCAGATTGGCGTATCTCTAGAATAAATACTGTACATAATATAGTTCCACTAGTGATGTGCGAAGCAGGAAAGCGGAGATGTGGTGTGAGGCAGATGAAAGTGAAGCGGTTTAAGAGGGTTAGACAAAGTCAGCAGATGCCTGCTGGGCAGTTTTGAAGTGTCTCCCACAGGTCTTACTGGGTCACTGCACTGGTTAGACCACAACATCCGTTACACTGTGTGTGTTTAGATGGCCGTGCTACAAGCTCTGTCTTCAGGTGTGTTTGTTCGAGGATACACATTGCTGTGCACCAGTGCAGTCAGTTGAAGAGCCAGCAATTGTTGTCTGAAGCAGCTGTAATAGATTGTATGTGAGAAGGAGAGAGAGTTCACTGTTGAAGAAGAAGCTCTTTTATATTTGGAGTTAAATTCATTGACTGTTTTACATCTGCTTTGGCAAAAGTAATTGTTGTACTGTAGATAATGTTTTGAATATATTCGACAATGGACAAACAGGTGGCTTTAGTTCTACCTCATCTCGCTTGAATGAGCTAGAAGATTACACGTTAGACTAAACAAGCTGCTGCAAAAGCCACCATGTCCACTTATAAATAGCATACTTTACAGATGTCTACTGTATGTGCGTTATCTTTGGATGGATCTAGAAGTCTGTTTTTGCCACTGATTTAAAAAGGACAGCATCTTTGAGTTTGAAATGTAAAATGAGCAGTTATGTATCTGATATCTAGGGATGTAACGAGTCACCTGACACAATATTTGATACGATTCACGATACTAATCTAACTATTCATGATTTAGTCACGATTTTTTTAATCAAAATTATTTATTTTTTATTTAAAATTTAAAATTTAAGGTGAACAAGAGCCCTTTCATTTTTCTCAAATGCTGCACAATTTTATTTACAAAATAAAATCTTTTCTGCAATAACTAAATTGGAATTTTAAAACAAAATCCAAATAAAAAGTGAATGATACAAGCTAAAGAAGACTCTTTAATATAAACAAACTAAAACTTTGGCTGTGCAGCTCAGTGGTCATTTATGAGAATGTGTTCAAAGAAAGCAAATGTCAGACTTTATTCAGTGTCTTCGGCTTTCTTTCTTCTCTTTTGTTATTAATCCACTACGTTGTCTGTCCTGTCATCTTTCCATGTTCTCCTCTCTGTATTTTCCCTTTCTCTTTCTCAATTTCCTGATTGGATGAACTTGTGCTCTGTTGTTTCTCCCACTCTGCCTATCCCATAATACCCTTGGAAAGGGGTGGAGCATCTTGTGCATTACTTCCGCGACACAGCGTGGTACAGTAACCTCTACTAAATGCTTCAACCTTTGCATGTGCATGGTCATATGAAATAAATGACCAATGCATGCTTGTTTGCACCTGTTTTTTATTTCTCAAGCATGGATTCATTTTTCCACACTTAAGTGCCTAAAAATACAGTTGCCATGAGAGTTAATTTTTTTTCTTGACTTTTTTTTTTTCATGCCCCAAACACCTGTATAAATTGTAATGTTTCTTCTCATCTTTGCCTTCATGGGCTATGACTGCTGTGCTTGTGTCAAGTCTTTCTTTGCACTGATGGAGCTGCAGTGTTTACTGGTGTTTCTGAGAGACCCAATGCTTCTCTCCACCCATTCCCAGAGACTTTATCCAAACAGTCATCAGTCTGCACAGGTGGACCAGGGTTTAACTATCTCAAACACACGCAAGCAGGGAATTAGCCTACGGTGCTGTTGTTCTGTGACTGCAGAGAGACAACGAACAGTTTTAGAGGACAATTAAAATAAAATTATCTGTTAACGCCTCCGGGATTCACATTATAACCTCCATTTCTACAATCCCAGGATATTAAAACCCCTCTATTATCAGAATGGCCACATTTCATCAGCCACATCTTTAGAATAAGACGAATGACTGAATTAAAGTCATGACTTTGTTGCAGCTTTTTCTGTTGTAATACCTAGCAATTGTCTTTTAAATGTTATCTAGTTTCAGAGGCACTTGATTCTACCTGCTTTTCTTTGCAATTTTGATGCTTTTTGGGGCCTCCTTTTTTTTTTAGTCTTTTTTTCTTGAAACCATATTGCATATCAATTAGGGTTTTTTTCAAGAGTAAATAAGAATTTTTATTTTTAATTTGTGTTAATAGCTGTAAATTATTAGCTGTGTAATGGATCATACATTAGTTGGTCCGTGATCTGTGATTCATATTTCATTATCACAAAAATTACAAGCACTTTCAAACCAAACAACTATCAACGAGAACTGTGTTTCTGTTTGCAGAAAGCAGCTTGAATAAATAAATATATTTGGTTTAATAAGTTTTCTTGGGCTTGTAGAGGCCAGTAGAGATAAGATATTTTCAAACGTTTACAGTGAATGTAAACGTTTGAAGGGTTAAATAACCCATTTGTATGTGTATATTGGGTTTATGTATTAACTTTTAAATGGCACCTATGATGAAAATCAACTTATGTAAGCTGTTTGGACAGAACTTTGTAGGTATAGTGTGCCCACTGTTTGGAGTGATATAGAGTGATTGGAGTGATACAATCATAACAAGTCTCTTTTAAAATCTCCTGACATTAAAATAGGACCTAAATCCTAGTGATTTTAAGGCCCACCGCAACATGACATTCTGTAGGAGTACGGTTTTTTTCCACCCACCGAGTTTATTGACAGGTTTAATGTTTCTATAATGTATATAAAGAATTATTTTAAACTGGGATTAAAATAGTTGTACAAACTCTGTGATTTTTTTCCATTTTATAAGTTTAAAATTTTTTTTTAAACAGAACATGTTTGTAATAAAGACAGTAAAATTACTATGTAATTCTTAACCGCTCTAATCACCGGGCCGTATGGTGTCAGTAAACACTAACATGGTCTGTGTGTGTACTGCAAACAGCATTTGTGTGAGACGCATCATATCAGAAAGGCTTGAATAAACTCCACCACGAATACATGAAATAACACTGTGCTGTTTATCTGACATACATGACTTTTTGACATTAACAAGGATAAGTCTGTATTTAATATAATAATATACAGTGTAGACTATGTGGTATTATTTTACATTTCTCTGAATACTACTACAGTTTTAATTATTGCTGCTATTGCTAATTAGTTTATTTGTTCCTACAGTATTCTATACTGTATAGCTGACTGTTTACTTATCTTTGATGTTTGAAATGTGCATTGTTAGTCATTTGTTAGTTCTATGTGAGAGGCTTGATGAGAAAAGACCACTTTTTTCACCCCACTGATCCAAAAAAAGATCACTGATGGAAAAAACTGTAATATGATATGAACCTTGAGCGTTGTGATTCAATATACCCCTACAATTACGCAACTATAATGCAACTATAGGAAAGCTTGACTTCGTACAGTATTATTCTCACAGAAATGCAAAAAAGTGCAAAGAATTAATGATTTATTATAGTCTTTTGATTCTAATATGGATTCTGTTTAGAGCTTATTATTGTTTTAAGCCTTTAGGGCAGAGGTTTCAGATTTTCTTTTATGCTACTATCAAAAAATTATTAATTTTACATGAAACTTTTTTACAGGAAAAAAAGTTAAGGTAATTAGTTAAGTTTTTTTAACTTGCAATAATAGCAGGGTACTACGCAACTATTCTGCAACAACATCAAAAGCTTTGAATTCATGTTCTGTTTTAGAAATAAAAGTATGCTGATTTATGTTAGTATTTCAAGCATCTTGCAATGTTGTCACATTGTCATCTGTAATGGCACTGATACCTGACAAATTTAAATGCAAATCATACAAACACGTGTAAATTATCCAGTAGTATTAGCATAGTTACTTAAAGTGTCCTCTACTTTGAAGGTGAAACACGGTCCCGCAGTTTTCTTAATGTTAAGCCTTGTTTTTTTTAAACACTCAATCTATAACCTCTGGTCTAATTCTAATGCAAGGCTGTCAGGTACTCATACAGAAATCCCTTTATACCATTTAGACCTCACAAAGATTTTGAATTATTCCACAAAGGCTCAGCATGTAGTCAATTTGAGATCTTTGTTTTTCATTTTACTGTCTATTTGCTGTTATTTGTTCTTCTGCATGTTTGTATTGTTTTGATTTTTTTGTTCCCAATGTTGTATCATAAAACACTTTTTTCCAGCCCTGAATTCTAATTAGAAGCCCATATAAACACACCTGTGATGAATTTTGTATTAAATTCTTCTATGTTGCTTGGCAACCCCCAAACTGCCTGGAGTCAGCATAATGAACTGTATTACTTGGCAGTAGAATTGTTTATCGTGTGCAGATTGTTTATTGAACTTTGGTGTCATTTATCACAATGCCGTTGCTGCCATTCAATAAGGCTGTGAGGCTGTTCATTAGAGTAATTTTACCACGATTAAGGTTATACATATTGTACCTAAAACCTGCTTTAAAACCTGTTATTTTTCGCCAGTTTAAAAAAAAAATGCTGCCCAAGTTGGCATGGTTAAGCTGTGATGTGGAGGGAGGAGAGGAGTACACTTAACACACACTGTCTTTAGATAGTTTTATTTGCCACTTGCTGAGTTAAAGCATCAAAGCTTCCCACAAAATGCACACAGATAATTTAATGCACAGACCACAATGAACATTTATTCTATACCGATTACTGTGGGTATTTGCCTCCACATAACCTTTGAAGTCAGTAGATAGATTTAAAAAGTTAAATTAAATAGATTTAAACCCAGAAGACAGAAAATAATACAAAAAATTTAGCCAGCTTTCTCCTATAATTAAAATTAATGGGTGCTAAAATTGTCTGTTAAAAAATGCAGTTTAGTATTTCATGGCCCTTAATATGCATTACCTTAAGCATATAAAATCTCTGTGACTTGGGGGACTTTTTACTCTTACATCATTGCAGGAACAGTATTAGGAAGTAAGATTCTAATGTACTGTTTAATACAGGGGTTCTCAACTAGTTTGGCCATGGGACCCACATTTTTACATGGTCATCAACCCGCGACCCAAATTTTTAGGAACTAATGTAATTTTAGGAATTATAATTAATTTGTATTTATTTGTTAACATAAACAAGTAGTGACAGATAAATCATAAGAAAATCACAAAGACTTGCAAATATAAACAATATTTTATTATTGTCATTTAACAAAATGTCTCAAATTATAGAAATATTACAAAGTAAAAACGACAAATCTTTGATTTCTAAAAGTGCTTTTGTGAGAGCACATCACTGCATATGACACACTGAGGTTTTAAGCCTTTTTTGTCACCAATATATGTAAATCCAAACTTTACATATTCGGGGTCGTACTTGTGTTTCGACATATTTGTTGCTATACTTAAATGAAATTTCACATGTCAAACGGTACAGGTGACGCTCGCGCATTTCAAAATAAAAGTCTTATGTAAGCAAAATAAGTAAAAAATTAAACATTTGTTGTTTTTTTGACCACACACTCTGCGACCCACTGAAAATGTTCCCGCAACCCACTTTTGGGTTGTGACCCACCAGTTGAGAAACACTGGTTTAATATATACTTTACACGCTGCATTACAAGCTGCATTTTTGAGCAATGGTCCGTCTTTTTAGATGTAAAACTTTGACACTAATTATTGGTGGAAACAGCTGATTTATGCCAATTTTATTCCTTTAATAACTCCTAAAACATGTTCTCATTAACACTGAAAGTGATTCTAGATTTTTAATGCAACTTTGATATTTCTGATGACAAAGCTGCAATTTGGCCTTGTCCAGAAAGGTTGAGATGTTATGCAAATTGTCAACATAATTAAACTCAAAGTTGGCATGAAAAATAATGTCAAAGATTACAAGAACTTGGAGTGATGAACTCCAGTTACTGTCAGTGTGCATGGAGCTGTATATGTCTTCACAGGCTTTATAAGGTTACAGTTCATGAGACTCATCTGTTTTTACTAAGAGCCAGAGGTGAATGCATTATGGATGTGTTATCTGCAGGTGTCCGCATCCGTCTCTGCACCCCAGAGATTTTGTGACGTCATTCAGAGGATGTAACTGTCTGACTGTCTCACGCTAGTAAATTTGCTGACAAACACTATTGCACTCATGCACCAAGCCCCGCTCACACTCTTACTCCCTTGCACCCGCTGTGCAGTCATATTCACTATTCTGAGAAATGAGCATGGTGTTGTTTTTCAGCTGTTGTTTTTTCGGCTCTCTCCAGTGGTGTTTCAAATTGTAATGCTTACATCTCTCTCATTCTGGCATTTTCTCATCCCTGTGTGGTCGGGCATGTGATAAAATTGTTTTGTGATGGTATCTGGAGATAATACACACCTTACAAATGATCTCTGGCTGAATAGAAATGTGACATGCTGTAATAAAACCACAGCTGGCCAGTAGGGGGTGCTGTGGTTTTAGTACAACTGGGCTTTTCTCGAGAAACAGCATTTGAGAGAAAGAAATGAGCAAATAAGAATGAAAGCAGGACTTGTGCCTGTGTCCTGGTGCACAGTTGTGTTCCCTGAATCTTACCTCTATACATGCTCATTCATTCGAAACCACCCTATTACAGTCACACTCTGTGCGGAACTGAACAGCTCACTGACCACATATAACTCAAAACACGTTGGCAGTGTTTACAGAGCAGCAATATCACTTGTCATTGCTTTTATTTAGAAAAAACAAACAGGCTCATGCAAAATTCAGAATTTTCGCTTTTCATTCATATCTGTGAATACGATTTGGCTGTACTCCACAAGAAATTAAATTTTAAATTGCAGTAAGATGAGTTTAAAAACTTTTAATGATGACAGTTGACATTAAAAATTGATTAAGTCTCATGGTAAACTTCACATGATGTTTCAATAGTTTTAGATCACAGGTGTCAAATTCAGTTGCTGGAGAGCCACATCTCTGCACAGTTTAGTTTCAACCCTGCACTTACTTGTAGGTTTCAAACAAGCCTGAAGTTAATTTGATCAGGTGTGGTCAATTAAGGTTTAAACCAAATTGTGCAGAGCTGTGGCCCTCCAGGAACTGGATTTGAACTGTGGTTTAGATGGTAGTTTTATATTTCTGCCTGTGATTATGTAATTGGCAGTGCGAGAAGTACCAATGTTCTTTTTGTCGATTTATTGTTTATTCAGATATTTTTGTTTTTAAACCAAAGTTTATGTTGTGATTTACCTTATAGATGGTTGGTTGGTTTCTGCCTTAAAATGTATTAAATGAGACTTTTAAAAAAATGTCAGTACCAAGGATGCTGAAAAAGGGTGCTCTGTGGTATTATTTTAAGTAATTTAGAAAAAGTAATACGTTATAGGAAATTAAGTGATCTGTCTCCTTGGGATAAAAAATTGATTTATTAATTTATTATGAAGTATCAAAATCTAATATAAACAACTCCCTTTTCTATTGGTGCTTTTTAAAAACTGTAATTTACAAAAAAAAAAAAACTTTGGATTTTAGTTCATTTTCTAGTTCATTGTGTTTAAAATTCATTAAACGGGTATAAAAACAATCTAACTTCAAATTCAGGGTTTCTTCAAACTTAATGCATTTCTGAACTGTTAGTTAACTTTATTTGTGCCCATAGGGAAATTTCATTTGCAGCATACAATCACAGAGACATCTGACATTTCACATTTGGCATATGTATAAATAAATCATTTAAAAGCATGGTACCTCTACTTTAAATACATATCCAGTCTACTAGTCATCAACTGCTCCTGAGGGAGGGGGAATTTAAAAACTTAATTGCTTGTGGTATAAATTATACATATATTTTTACAGTTTCTTACACACCTGGGAACACAATATCGATGACCTGATGGTAATAATTGGAAGGTGTTTGATAAAGGATATCTCCCATTATTGACAATAATGATAGCCTTATTTATTACTCTTTCTTTGTATATACTACCAATGCTCGTTAGTTTGATTCCCAACAACTTATTGGCTGTTGTTACCACCTTGCGCAGTGACCTCTTCTGGACCTCCATACCAACAGATCACACAAAATGTTGCAATAGTTTCAATTTAAAGCACGAAAAAGCAAGATCAACAATATGTTGTCAACATTAAAAATCTATAGTTTTTTTAAGAAGTGCATTCTCTGTTGAAGTTTTTTCCTTACACATTCAGTCCATACATCTCACATCAGTTTACTGTCCAACATCACACCTAAATATTTATAATTTGTTATTAACCGAATTTGCTCCACATTAATTAATGTGGGATGAGTTTTGCTTTGTGTTCTCACTCTAAAATCGATAATCTCCTTAGTTTTAGAAATGTTCAGGGGAAGGTTTGACCAAAGGCTCACCAAAGCTTTTTAGCAAATTTAGCAAAAGTAATGCATTATAGGAAATGAAGTGATCTGTCACCTTGGAATACAAAATATATTTATTAATTCATTACGAAGTAAAAATCTAATTTAAACAACTCACTTTTCTTTAGGTGGTTTTTAAAAACGGTCTATGTAATTTACAAAAAAACCTTTGGATTATAGATAATTTTCTACTTTATTGTGTTTAAAATGCATTAAATGGATACAAAATTTGTAAAGTTCTCAATGCATTTCTGAATTGTGTCTTGGTTTAAGTGGTTTAGTTTTGACTGAAGTTTGAACATTGATACTTGCAATCGCATTTTAGCAGTTTGCTCTGAACTAAACTATAGTGAACAAAGACTGCTCTCAGTAAAAATGCTGCTCTTAATTAATACTGTATTTGATTTGAATTTTCAGTTGGAAAATTCCAACATAAATTGGTCAAAACTCTAGCATGGGTCTCTAACTTGATTACTGGAGGGCCGCAGCTCTGCACGGTTTTGCTCCAACCCTAATCAAATACAGCTGATCCAAATAATCAAGTTTTTTAAGACTAATAGAAACTAGCATGTGTGAGTTGGAGGTGGTTGGAGATAAACTATGCAGAGCTGTGGCCCTCCAGGAATTGAGTTTGAGACCATTACTCTGCAGTATTTTTCTCATTCTCTGACATAATGAGATGCATACTTCGAAAGCTAATACCTTTTGTAAATAGAGATTTCAGTTCAAAATGCTGATCCCCTGATCGCAGATCATTGATTCCACTATTTTTTATTGTGTAATTAATCTTCTGTTTCATCTTCCACAGCCTCAAATACTTCAGCCCATCAGTCGCATCCCCAACGAGCCCCTCATCCAGGGAAAACTAGCAAGAACAGTCCCAATCGGGGGCCGCAGTGATGCCTGCACCGGAGGTGAACAGCCACCCATGCCCTGTCCTCCATCCCCCTGTGCCCATCCAATTCTGCCTCCTGCTAGAGACCCTCGTCTAGAGTCGAAATCTTTACCTGACCCAGAGGAGATGAGTCGGTTGCTTAGCACCCACCTTCGCATACAAGACATCAATGAGTGTGACTCACCGGGGGCTGGAGAACAGATTGCGAGACCGACCCCAGAAAGCCATCAAAACAAACTGCTGCAAACACCTCACCCCCTGTCCCTCTTCAGCCCTCGTGTCCTGCAGCCTCCACGTCTACACAGACGGGTAACACTCTCTGCTCTGCCTGTAGGGGGCTGTAGTAGGTCAAATCCAAAATCTAGACTCTCAGTGAACTACAAGGCCCAGCAGCAGCAGCAGCAGCTTCCTCCTTCTCCGTCCAGAGGTTTGCCATGCTTCAGTGCTGAGAACCACATCATACTGCATGGCCAGCCCTCCCAGGCTTGGCCAGTAGTAATCAGGAGAGAAGCTAACCCAGAACACAATGCTTCAGTATCGCTTGGTATCTCCACAAGACTCCCAAAGCCAAAGATCCACTGAGTGTCAGCTGCAGCCATAGACACTGATAAGGCTACCTCCCTAAACGCATGATTACACATGCGGCTTGCACTAGATGGTGTTTTTTGTGGCTAGACAACATTTTAAGCTAAAGCAGCTAAAGTTTTGCTTCTAACTATGCAACAAAAAGTCTCACAATCAGTGCTACTGTTGCACAGAAACATTGCACCTAAAAGTCATTGATCTTCATTCCACTTCACCACTCATCTTCCATATTCACCCTAATAAATTGACAAATGATGGACAGAAGTTCAGGCTGGAAAAACGGGCAATGAAAAGCAGCAGATTAGTCTTTGTTTTATTGATGCTAAACAAACGTCAAAGACAACAAGTGTGTGCAGTGCCATTGACTGCCTGTGGAGCTTATTTGAGACCCTCATTGTCTGGATGTTTTCCCATGCGCCGTGCCCTCTGGACGCCCACTCATTTAGTGGGTGAATCTGACATTTACATCAGCGACCTCCTGAGGTTTTACTGCAAAACACATATTATTGTCTAGGCAGTCTCCTAGAGCCTGTCTTAAGGATTGAGTGAGTCAGTACATCACATGACTCAAGTCTCCTCTTCAATTTTCACAGGAAAAGCTGTCATTCTGCTGTTATTTGGTGTGTTTGTGTATTAGTTCATGCTTCATTTCACATCCACGTCTGAGTTCACCACATAAACCAGGCTCTCGGGTATTGTTTTTTTCCCCTCATTCGTGCATCTTGTTTGTCAGTGCAGCAAGTCTCTATGACCTACAGACATAGTGCTTTGGCAGGAGAGTACACATTCTGCTGTCTGTGCTTCCTTTATTTTCACCTTGGTTTCAGTCGCGATCAGCAGATTTCCATTTAAGGCTCATGCCTTCTGTATCAACGAGGTTCTTTTTTTTTGGATTATAAATTATGGCATGCTCAGAGTTTTAACTTGCTTTTTCACCTCTCATTAGTCGCGTATAGAACTGTTATGATGCTTTTAAATTATTTATACGCTATAAAGATGTTTACAGTTGCCTTTATTAAGCTGTTTGGTCTGTTTCTGTTCTGCAGGAACTTGTTTGCCTTGTCTTTGGCAGAGAAACAGTCTTGCTGAGAAACTTTAAATGTGCAAGCAGTACACACACTTGATGAAGTTCTTAGTTTTCGGAAATGTTGTTGCACTAACTTGTTTTTGGCTCTGCGAGACATGAATTATTAAATCCATGAAGTAATATTTTTAGTTAAATTTCCGAAGATAGATGCATTGGACTGTTTGTCCAGTGCAAGTTGCTTTTGATGTCCATATTGGCCACAGCAGATGTTTTCTTGGATATTCAGGATGATTTTCCCTTAGGGAGCGCTGCAAAAAATGTCTTGTTTCAAGACCAAATAAATATCTAAAAATTCTTATGTCAAGAAGCATTTTTTAGGTAAGCAAAATCTAATGTATTGTTTTGAGGAATAATATGCCAAAATCATGCGAGTTTTCCCCTTAAGAAGCAAAATAATCTGCCAACCGGGTAAGCAAAATAATTTAGTTTTTCCTTTTGACATAAGATTATTTTGCATACCCCATTGGCAGATTTTTTTTTGCTTGTTAAACTCACTTCATTTTTACTGTTTTTGTATGTGTAGTGACGTGTTTTTTTTTATTTTAGGTTGCCTTTTTTAAAATCTGGCAGGGGGCAACAGATGAAAATTAGCCCTTGTGGCTAACTCTGGCTTATTTACAGTTTTACTGTTGATTAATGAGCATTGTCCCTGTTAAATAAAATAAATTCAAATAAATTCAAACTCATTTTGGCACATTATTTCTTAAAACAAGACATTATGTTTTGCTTGTCTAGACAATTCTTCCTAATTTAAGAATTTTTAGATATTTAAACTAGAAACAAGACAAAAATCCAAGTAAGAAAAGCATTTTTTGCAGTTTTTCATAACTCCAAATGTTGGTCAAATTCGAGTTTTTGTGCTTTTGGCATGCCTTGATACATAATACACACTAATACACAAATATACAACAAGATCAACTGCATGGAAGCACATACATTTTCCATACTGTGATTTCAGATCCTCCTTTAAGTCCTCCTCAGTGCTTATGTGCAATATACAGTATATGTATCCGAGTGTATGTACTTATCAGTATATACAAGAACTTTACCTTATAGCTTCCCCACAGATCTTCAGTCTGAAATGAAAATGATTAACTGCCATCTTCTCATCACATGAGGTGTTTGGGGTTTTACACCGCAATCTCACGTGGGCCACATACTTCTAGACACACCTTAAGCAGAGATGGGCAGCCATGTTTAAAACCAACTAAAGAAAATCAATAGAAGAAGGATATTTGTGTGTTTGTGTGTGTGTGTGTGTGTGTGTGTGTGTTTGTTTGTCGTTCACTCTCACCCAGCTCTGTGGTTATACTAAGCAGAAAATCAATGGAGGGCTTGTTTTGTAATGCTCTGGAGACACTTTGTTTGTGTTTCTCTCTCACTTTCTGTCTCTCATTGTGGCGGTGTACGTGTGCAGGAGGAGAGGTCCCACTGTAGACTTGCTAATTTAAAGTCACAGAAGTACATTGATTCTGTCCGTCATGGGCAGAGGTGAATCGCTGGTGTCAATGAGGTGCCCGTTTACAGCCAGGAGCATCTTCTCTTTCATTAGTCTATTAATAAAGAAAAATGTAAAAAAATAAATTAATTAAATAAAAAGTAGTGTCCCTAAAGGCATGGTTCAATTGGAATTGAAAAAAATGTATTTGAAAGTTATTATCCTTCATTTTTACAAAATGTCTTTGTCCAAGCGATGATAGTATGAAAAAAAACCCTATCTGACTAAAAGTTAAACAGCATGATTTGGATCACATAAACATTCACTGAATAAAGAAAAAATGTTGAAAATTCTGTTCATGCTGTTAAAAAGCTCTTAAGAATATCTGCAGAAACAAAGATGCCATTAACAAATAACTGGTGCGGTGCCGCAGTGTGAAAACCCTTCATCAAAAACAAGTTAAAAGCGCCATTAAAACACTAGTTGTCAGTTTTCCAAATAACTTTAATAAATGCACTCGTACAAAGACCTGGTAAAAAATACATTTATGACTTGCTGCCCATGTGCGTGTTTGCTTTTAACTGGGTTCATTTTACCTATACTAGCATGAAAGTATTTAAAGAAAAAGGGCACTTGCCATCCTTTAAAAAAATAAATATATATTTCCACAGACTTCAAGTCTTGTTATGATTTTTCACCTTTTGTGACCCCATTGTACGAGGCATTGTCAGAAAGCTCCCACTGCTCCATTATAGCTTCATGAAAATAACAGCTGCCAACCTGTTTGTGTGGAGAGAAAAGATGTGTACTAACAGAGGAATGAATTCAAGCACTTTAAATGACCCGTTTCAACCTCCATGATGGAGAGCCTGTTTTTTTTTTTTTTGACCTGATCTGTTTGATTTGCTGTCATTTTTATTGTGGCAACTATTTTTGGTCGTCTTAATGTTTTGTCCTTGTGTGCCCTGGTTCAGTGGAAGGTGTGATACTTTAATAAAGTGAAGAAGTATGATTCATGCTTTCTGGTGAATTTTTTCCTTTATCAGAGAATTCATTTGTGTGTCTTATTGCAGCTGTATCCAGCTATATTTTACACTCTGCAGATCCTAATGCATTCTATTCAGAGCTGCTTGCCAACCTGTTCATTATACTGTAAATCCTCACATTGGGGAAGAATTGTCTAATATTCTCGAAGTTGTGTCCCAACGACCGTGTGTATAAACAGCATTGGCAATATAAAGATAAATAAGCCCTGAACTTCAGCACTGAAGAAAACTTTCAGCTTTGTTTTCTCAACCTTAGATGGGTATACAAAGAAATGAAATGATATTTCTCCAGTTTTATTTTGCGGTTACAGCCGAGACATTGTAAACAGTCTATAGTTATTTTTTACCACAATGATTTCAGTTCTAACAAGAAAAGTTTGTCTTGACAAACTTCTGTGTTGATTTTAAAGATGTTTTAGCTGCTGTTACATTTCCAAACAGTTCCTAGTTTATTCTATAGGGTATTAATGGTTGGATGGATGGAGGAATTTCAAGTCAGTCCCATAGGCAATCTTGGAGATATGTACATTGTAAAAAGCACCACAGATTAATAGAGACTGCATGTAGCTCATGATTTAAGGATATTTACAGTATTTACACTTTTGCACTTGTGTCTGATCTTTGCTTAGACAACCTTTAATGCTGCATGGTGTCTTTTTAGTTGATGTTTTTAGTAGTTTCAGAAGTATGTATGGGTTGGTACTGTAGTTATACTACAAAAGCAAATATAATGTACTGCTGGTAGGCTAACTTTTTTGTTTATTTTAATAGTTACTGTACATATGGTAATCAACACACATCCAATTATTTGAATCTTTGAACTCATTCATTCATTCATTTTAATTCGGCTTAGTCCCTTTATTAATCCGTTGTCGCCACAGCTGAATGAACCACCAACTTATCCAGCATATGTTTTATGCAGTGGTATCCCAATTCCAGCTGCAAACCAGTACTGGAAAACATCCATACACTCATTCACACACATACACTATGGCTATTTTAGTTTATTCAATTTACCATTGTCCGGTATCCCCCACAGTCTTTGGATTGTGGGGGATACCAGAGCACCCAGAGGAAACTCACGCCAACATGGGGAGAACATGCAAACTCCACACGTGCTGTGGTTTAAACCAGTGACCTTAATCTTGGAACTCATTAAATTCAACAGCATTTTAGTAAAAGATTAATTTTATATAGTGAAATTACAGTTTTATGAACACAGGTTTTTTGTCCTTAGCTGCATTTTTTGCCATGGATTAAAATTCTCTTTCGATTTGACGCATTTCCTTTAATTGCAGGAAAGATGACGGTTTTCCAGCAGTGGCTGTGTTCTTGGCTGTAATAATGTTTAAAGGGTAAATGGGTTCTGTATAATCGCTTTGCTGAGAATCCACTATGAGTTTTCCACTTCCACTATTCAGAGAAAAACTGTTCTACCCACTCCATTTTAAAAGTTGTTTACATGTTACATTTTTTTAATATGAACGCCTGAACACAACATATCTGATAATAGATTGCAAACTATTCAACACATTTAAGAAACAGAATTAAACAAACTTGTCCAAATGTATACCTGAAGTGTGTGCACCATATATATATAATGTTAAGTTAACATACTTGTTTAGCAATAGCTTTTAAAATACACAACCTGGCCATATTGAAGTGAATTAAAAGAACTCTTCTTTAAATTCTATTGGTCTCAGCTATTTAATTGAAGTGTTGATTAAAGGAATGTGGCCTGTTAATTCAGTCAGAATATTTTTTTCAGAATAATCTATGAGTTGTTTGTTTATTTAAACAAAAGCTAATATTGAACCCAACCTGTTTAGATTTTATTTAGGATTGTTTTTATTTAAGACACCTTCCTTGTGTCTTGATTTGACTATCTTGTTATAGTAAAGTAAACCACAGACCAGCTTTGGAAATAAAGTTCATGTGTTTACAGTATGTCGTCCAATCGTAAAATGACTGACTTACAAATCCATAAGCATCACACTTGCCTCAATATGTGTTTAATAATCCAAGTCAATCTCAGTGAATATAGGCAGTGTGTTTTGGTCAGTTTCTAATACCATGTAACGCAGGTCTGTCCAAACACCGGTGTCCTGCATAGTTTAGCCCCAACTTCCTTTAACACACCTCCCTGAAAGTTTCTAGTATACCTAGAAAGAGCTTGATTTGCTGCTTCAGCTGTGTTTAATTGGGGTTGGAACAAATTATGCAGGACACCGGCCCTTCAGGACCAAGTTTGGACACCCCTGATGTAAAGCATAAACAATAGTGTCTGATTAAGAAAAAAATGCACTGCAACACATTGGAAAAAATGATGTGTTGTTGTTAAGAAGTAGTTCAGTGGAAGTTGACAACATGCTGCTAATCGGGCTTATCCAAACCTCTTTAAATGTTGATGATAGTGAATATGGCAACACACACTCACACAATATTGTGTGTGCCAGCTATCTATGTTTTTGCCACTGCCTCATTAGATGTAATCCAGTAAAACTGTAGTACAATATCATAATGTAAGTCAGGGCTGTCCAAACTCAGTCCTGGAGGGCGGGTGCCCTTCATAGTTTAGCTCCCATTTCCTTCAACACACCTGCCTGGAAGTTTCTAGTATAGCTAGAAAAAGCTTGACTAGCTGCTTCAGGTGTGTTTAATTGGGGTTGGAACA